CAACCTTGAGTCTTTATGCCCGGCAGTGTCGGTGGCACTATGCAGCGTTAGATTCTTGACTCGCACGCGTTTGACAGAAAATAGTTTTTTAATAATATTTTCTAAACTGTTAATCCAAGAGTAAAACTATTTGGCAAAAATATTTATTATACCTTAATGAACATTTTCTTCACTGGAAGTTTTTGATCACAAAGAATTTTTCAGATAAACGAAGCCCTCGAACATTGAAAATAATTATTTTGACACTATGTATGAAAAAAATTAATAACTTTTTTTACATAAAATATTTTACTTTCTGACAAAGTTTGTTGTCTTGAGGATAGGTTAAACTATATTCCCTGTAAATATTATTAAAAAAATATTCATAACTTTATGTTTTAGAGCGAGTTGAAGTGAAAAATTCAATTAAAAATGTATTTTCGAAAAATTCAGTTTTTTGCATTTTTCTCGAAAATGGTAAGAGTTATCAATTTTTTTTATACAAGAAAAAAGATGCGACATTCAATTTCCAATAAGAAAGTGATTTTTAAAAATTTTTTTATGACCATCGATTTTTCAACCATCAAGGGCCAACTGAAACGCCTGTGGAAATTTTATGTGTGGTTTTACTTTCCGGCGGCTCAATTTCTCCAAGCATGCTTCTAATCCAAATAGAATAGCATTGTCTGTCCAAGTCATATCTTCACTACGTTTGCTTCTTAATTCATCAATAAATGAAGTAATTCGGTCCACAAGTAAGTTAAAACCAATTATTGTTAGTGGCAAAGTGACATATTTTTCTCCGCTTAGAATTTCTGTAAGCTCTTTAAAATAACCTAAGAATTCAAAGATTGTTGATAATAATAGCCACTCAGATTCCAAAATTTTATATTTCTCCAAATCTTTATTCATTTCTGTTAATAAACTCAACGAACGTTGCATTTTGAGTGCAGAATCAATCATTGCAAAAGTGGAATTCCATCTGGTACATATATCAATATTTGGAATGTACATTTTTTCATCAGTAAAACTGCAACAATGTTCTAATTTCTTACGCCATTGTTCTGAAAGTTTCAGTTTTTTAAACAAATTTCGTAATTTGGCAAGAGGAAACTTTTCAACTTCTCTATCCAAATTTTCGTGCGTTTCAGCTTCATCATTATCACCGGAATTTGAAATAATTTCAGACATTTCATCATCATTTTCCTCGTTTATTTCGCCATGGTAATCATCCTCATTTCCACCTTGATGAAAACTATCAAGTTTTAATTTGCTTAAAAAGTCTTGTACACCTAAGTGTAAAATGTGCGCGTAACACTTAAAATGTTGATTCCTTAGCATCAAATGGCATTAATTTTGCCAATTCCGTCATAAATTTTGTGTTTGCTGCAGCATTGTCCATTGTGACACCTTGAATTTTATTTTGCAGGTTGTAATTTTCCAAATATTTGTAGAAAACATCAGCAATTTCTTTTCCGAAATGCTTTCCATGGGAAGGAATAAAGAACAGTGTTAGAGAGTGTAGATATCCCAATTTTTATTAACAAAATGCGCTGTTACTCCGAAATAAGAACGATTGCTTATTGATGTCCAGCCGTCTACAGTAACGGAAATTTTTGAGGGACTCTTGCATAACATTTTAAAAACGACTGTTTCCATTTCAGCATATCTTTTAATAGTTAAATTTCGAAGCTCGTGTCTGAAAGGCAATTCAGCACGTGGATTTAAGTAATTAAATATATCTTGTGTCTCAGTATCGTTGAAAAATGCAAACGGCAAATATTTTTTTGCTATCCAATCCACGAGTTTCTTATTGAAAACCCCTTGCTCGAAAACCTATAGTAAGTGTATAATAATACAGAAATAATAAATAAAATATTTAAATATTAAAATAAATAAAAAATAATTTAATTATTAAATTAATAAATAATTAATAAATATTAATTAGATAATATAATATTATTAATTAATTAATAATTAATAAATATTAATATTTAATATTTAATACTTAAATAACTAATTTTATTTTTTATTTTTATTTATTTGTTTATTTTATATTTAATTGAATTGTTTTTTACGTTTTATATTTTATATTTTTATTGATTTTTTAAATAAATTTATGTAGGTATTTATTTTTTTGGTTACTTCAATGAGCGGGATTTTATATTAAATAATTAAAATTTAATTGTTAGAATTTCTAAATAAGAAAGGAATTTCAAAATGAAAATATAATAAATTAAAAATAAAATTTTTCAAAAATAAACAAGATTCTAATTCATTATTTAATTTAAATTTTGATTGAATTAAATTTTTGCTAGCCATTTCTTATTATTAAATAATACTTGTATTGAGAAGAGGAAAATATTGTTTAAAGTTGTTTAGATTAAATTTAGAATTACTTTTGCATATTATGAAAAATGTCATTATTACTTGTTGATTCGATTTAGAAGCTAATTTCTTTTCCGGATAAGTTTGTTCAAATGTCTCTCTGTGATGTTCGCGAAGATGTCGCATCAGACCAGTAGTATTACTGTCTTTCATTTTAATCAATATTTCTTTTATCGGCGCACACAATTTGCATTTTCCCATTTTGCAATCGTCTTTGATAAAATATCAAACGACTCTTCTAGCGGTAGAGCATTATGTTTTCGACGTTTAGATTGAAATACTGTTCCTTTGCTTTCTTCGACAGTGCTAAAAATTACAAACCAATAAAGAGCTTACTAATAATTAAATTATAAATAAATAATTTTAATATATATGTATATATTGAATAAATAAATAATTATAATATAAGACTTAAGCTTTTAAGTTATTAATTAATAACTGTTAATTTATAAATTATTGAACTATTATTACGAATTTTATTTTTTTATTTGTGAAATTAGTAAAAATTGTTTTTTCTATTCCAATACCTGAGCTGTTCTTTTTCACCCTCCGGAAAGTTAGGTCTTTTTAATGGTTCGTTCCCTGACATATTGTTTAAAATAGTCGAGCATAAATAATATTAGATTTCGAATTTATTTTTTCGTATACGTAATGACAATATTTTCGTTGACATTTATCGTTTTTGTCGGTCAATACGAGACGATAAAAAATAATAAAGAATCTATAATATCGACTACTTGAAGTGCGTTCGATACGAGAATATTCGAACGATGTCGAGCATTTCTCGGTTCGACGTACATCACTATGAATAGGACTAGTAACTTTTTCATATATATAGTTTCTTATATTTTTATCTTTTAATAGCAATCTTATTTGATATTCAAAATTTATTGACAGAAAGTAATTGTTATTGGTCAGGGAAACTTCATTAGAAGAATTGCAGTTCTTGCAAATTTTCTTTTGTTGGGCTATAACCGACTTGACACAAGAATAAACAATTTCCTGTTTACATTCTTGACAGTAATAGTGAAAAGTAATATTCTCCTCAGGAGGATTTAATGTTTTATTTATAAAATAATTAGAAAAATTTAAATTATTAAAGAAAGGACCGGCTAGAATTTTGACTAGAGACACTAATTTCTCTCTTGCTTTTTCTACCATGTTGAACTGAATAAAATATCCAAGTAACATTTCCATAACATGATTTACGGTTAAACCAGATTGAGGAAACATTGAGACATTATTAAATTCAAAATTGGAATCAGAAGTTTTATCCTCAGGTACTTTTGAATCAGAGCAACGGTTAAAGTCGATATCATTAAAATTGAATATCGCATTTTTTGGTACATATTCATGAAGGCGCTCGCACAGCTCTACTGCCTGCCTGCCTGCCTGCAGGTCGTCATGGTAACACATAAGAGTAAGAGAGTCAGAAAATTCAAATTAAATGTTTTTTCTCCCTTACTCTCATTGCGCCTGCCTGTGCAGGCAGGCAGGCAGTAGAGGTGAGAGAGCGCCTTAACCCTCTTCTCGAAACTGAGATTCTTGTCTCAAATTATATTTCGTCGTCTCGTTCGAATAGATTAATATGTTGTACCATCTTTTTGCCAAATCTAATCACACTTTTAAAGCTTTGAATAAATTGAAAAGGTTACACCGCGCTGCCGCGACTTTTTTTTTTTTTTTTGATTTGGTGGGGCTCTGTCCCCAAATCTCACTTTTTACAAGCGACCGATTTCTGATAAAGCGGCATATGCAAGAGCCCTAATTCAATCTTAAACTTATTAAGTTAAAACTTTTACTAATTTTTTCAATTTAAAAATTCTGTATTGCGTAGTTTCACTAAATAAAGTTAAGTTGTGGAATCGCAATTACATATGTCTTTAAACATCTACATATTAATCTATTTGAACGAGACGACGAAATATAATTAACCGATTAAACGAACTTACCTGTAAGTGGAGTTCAATCGGAATTATATGAGTGGTCTCGTTCGAATAGATTACTCCCTCCCTTCCCTATTTTATTTATTTTCTAAATGAAATAAAACCCATGAAATTGCGATTTATTTGCTTTAAAAATAATGAGATTTGGGGACAGAGCGCCACCGGAAGAGTCGCGGCAGCGCGGTGTAACCTTTTCAATTTATTCAAAGCTTTAAAAGTGTGGATTTGGCAAAAAGATGGTACTACATATTAATCTATTCGAACGAGACCACTCATATAATTCCGATTGAACTTCACTTACAGGTAAGTTCGTTTAATCGGTTAATAATTCTTCTGGTTTCCTTGGTTAGTAAGTTGACGTACACTTTCAATATAGCTCGTATTGTCGTTTTTACGAAATCGTGGACAGTTAAAATTTGATAAAAAAATGAGTTAAGACGCTCTCACAGCTCTGCATGCATGCCAATGCATGCATAGTTGTCATGGTAACACATGAGAGTAAGTAAGTCAGAAAATTCAAATTTCATGTTTTTTCTCTCTTACTCTCATGCTGGCAGTAGAGCTGTGCGAGCGCCTTTAGATCCCTTTCCCGACGCGCGGGTTCAAATGTAGTTTTAAAAACCTGAAAAAATTCAGTTTTTAACCTGGAAAAACTGGAAAATAAACGATATCGTGATATAAAAAATATGCCCCGGGTGAGACTCGAACTCACGACCCTCAGATTATGAGACTGATACGCTGCCAACTGCGCTACCGAGGCTGATTGGAAGTTGTATCCTCAAACTGAATCACATTGCGAAAAGTGAAAGTGTAAATTTTCAATTGCAGAGAGATCAGCTGATATCCCTTCTTTCTTGTTGTTCGACCACCACGTTGGTAACATGTTTTGGTCTCATTTTTTCTAACTCTCGGCGTATATTTATGAAAAAAGGAAAATTGCGCGCATTCAAGTAAACAAAAGGAAGGAAAAAAGGGTAATTAAGAAATTGCGTCTGTATAAACGAAAGTTTATGCAGATGAAATGCTGTGTCCGGAAATATGGAATTTTAAAGCTCCGCAGCATTCATTGTTGATAGAGCAATCAAATCAACTAAAGGATTCTCCTTCAATCATCAAGACTCATTATTTCAATCATTCTGTAAGTGGCTTTTCCTTTTTTGTCTTCTAATAATACGCATTTATCATATCTGCCTATATAGACCACTTAATCGCACATTAATTTCGAGGTTATAAATTTTTACGTAATTTTGTGAAAATGACTTTTTGGATTAATGCCAGGTATCTGTCGTATTTCCTGAGACGATTGACGTACCAGAGGAAATTAAAAGTAGCCTTGTACGTGATAAGGAGTATTACAAAATCCATGCTTTGTACCCGCACGAACTTGTCAGCAAGGAATTCATAGAGGCCTTTGTTAAGAAAGGTTTGATTCTCTTTGTTATAACTATTTTGTGTTTTATTTATTTAATTTTGAATTAATAATTATTACTTTTTATTCACTTTTGAATTTAAGTTTTCAGGCTTCGTACTCATCTACCAAAACCTGGTATTTACTATTTTTTTACGATTTACTACTATTTTGGATAATTTTTTCGATTTGCGACTCCAAAAGGTACTTTTTTCTTTTTATTGAAAATTTTCACTATACTTTAAATCCGCTATTAGTTGGAATACAAAAATTATTTTCAAAAATTTTTATAAAATTTTTTTAAATAATTCAAGAAATTTTAATAAAATTCCTAAAATTCTTTCAAACGATTCAATTATTTTGAGAAATTTTTCGAAATTCAATTATTTTCAATATCTACAATTCTTTGTAAAAATTTAATTATTTTCAACAAAATTTTAATAAAACTTCGTAGAAATTTAAATAATTTCAAAAAATTTGTTTATTTTATTCAATACAATTTTAATAGCATTTCTTGATGGAATTTAATTATTTTATAATTTGTTGATAGAATTCACTTGTTTTTGCTTCCTCGTGGAGGAAGCTTTGTGGTCGTTTAATTTACAAAATTTTTAAAAATCCTTTAAACAAACTAAGGGACTAAGGGTGTCTACAACACCTGGAAACCCTGGAAAACTGGGAAATGTCAGGGAATTTTTTTCATCATGACTTGAAATATTCTTGAACAATATTTTTAATGCCCACAATTAGTTTTACAAATTTTTAGTAAAAAATTAATACTAATAATTAATATTGCCTTTCTAATTTGCAATTCTATTTTGAGAAATAATATGAACCACAGACATACATATAATCAAATAGAAAAAAATTGACCACTTAAAATTCTGAAAGATCAAAAGAAATGGAGAAATAATGGCATTGGAAAAATTCGTTTCGTAAAATAAGTCAATTTATTTTTAAAATACATAATTTAGGGCTCAAACTAGATCCGTAAATCGCGTAAAGTCCATAAAAGTAAGTTTTTTAAAAAAGGTTCGTAAAGTCCGTAATTTGATTGAAGAAGGACGAAAAGTTTGTAAATTGTACGATATAATTTGTGGAATTTTAGAGAAATTACAAATGATTGCAGAAATTCAATCATTTTCAAAAGTAATAAAATTCTTCTCAGAAATTCAATTATATTCAAAAATTTTTTAAAATTCTCGTCAAAATTTCAATTATTTTTATAAATAATAAAATTCTTCTCTAGGAAATTCTATTATTTTTAAAAATTTTAATAAAATTCTTGGCAAAATTTCAATTATTTTCAAAAATATTCCTCATTTCAATGTTTTTCAATATTTACTATTTTAATAAAATTTTTCCAAAAGAATCTAATTACTTAAAAATTTTTTAATTATTTTCATAAAATAATAAACAGTTCACAGGAATTATTTTCGTGCATAATAAAATTTTTTTTAAGAATTCAATTATTTTCATAAATAATAAAAATGATCAAAGAATTTCAATTATTTTTAATACAATTTTAATCAAATTCTTCGAAAAATGTAATTATTCTTAAAAATTTTATTAAAATTCGTCATAAAATTAAAAATTTGTTAGTAAAATTCTTTATGAGAATTCAATTTTAAGAAACATTTGATAATTCAAGAAATTATTTATTTTTGTATTTAAATAATTGAATTCTAATAAAAATTTATTTAGGGGAGGGTAGGCTACATTGAACCGGGTATTTTCTAAAGTCCAAGAACTAATTAAATTTGACAAATTTTGATGAGGTTTTTGTATGAAAATAAAACTGAAGTACTCCTTTAGTTAATACACACGTTACAAACACAAATTATTATGATTAAATAATAAAATTTAATTTTTTTCTAACCAGTTACACTTTTCTTATTTTGAAGGAAGTGTGTCTACATTGAACCACCTCTAATAAAACACTACAACTTACTTCGAAAATAATATTTCCACTTACACATTGTAATAAATCTTATTTTCCACTGAAAAAAATAGAAAACTGTTGTTAAATAGTTATTATTTGTTAATATAGGATATTAATATATTTCGATGTCAGGTTTTGTAGCAGAAGTGACAGTTTAATTTTATCACGTTGAGAGCCATGCTGATCAAATTTCCTAACCTCAAAATAAATATTATGGCGCAAAATTTTAAAGTTCTACTACAATGTATAATTTCTGAAACCTTAATTGCGCATGACTACTAGCATTTTTCTTATTGGTCAATAGAGCAGACAACTTTTGTAGTCAGGGCTACCACTCTTGAAACTGAAAATACGCTGTAAATTCGGGTGGTTCAATGATGCCGCACTCACTGTATTCACATGACATTCACAACAAAAATTGTTTATAATAAATTTATGTAAGACTTAAAATTCTTTATCACATCGGAATATTGAAGTTGACACCCTAAGCGAAATAAATCACAAGTTTACTAATTTTTAAAACTTCCTATTTCAATAAAAAAAATTCATTATATTTCCACAAAATTTTTTATTTTGTACGTGAAAAACAGTTTTTTTCGTTTTTCTTTGTAAATAATAAACCTACGTGCTCGAAATTTTTGGACGTAGTCGCTTTCGGTAATACTAATTTATATATTAAATAAGAAAAAATTCCACTCAGTCATTTCTTAGAAAATTAAAGTGGTTCACTGTTGACGCTGGTTCAATGTAGCCTACTCTCCCCTAAAAATTAATTTCAGTTACAATTTTAGATAATAATTGAATATTAAAAGCAATGTAGCGTGAATATGTAGAAATAATTAAATTTTGAAATTAATTTTTTTGAGATATGTTAATTGAATTTTTTTAATATTATTTGAAGTTTTTATTTTCTAATATATATATTTAATTGAAGAAGTTACGAATAATTGAAATTCCGTAAAATTGATTTAAAGAAGAATTTTAGTTAAAAATTGTTGAAAATAATTGAATTGATAATGATTTTATCACTCGGTTATCTTTAATAATTATTATAAAACATGAAGAAACCGAAGACTCGGAGTTATCGATATCTTCATGTTTTATAGTTATGAAAAATTTAATTTATTGTTTTAAGTAAAATGTTCTCTTATTTGACTCGTACTGGTTATATTTTTGTTCGTAAATGATACGTAATTTTTCATTTTTGGTCCGTAAAGTACGTTTTTTTAAATACTGTGTCAACTGGTTCCAGCCTTGATAATTTTTTTCAAAAATGTTCATTTTATATTCATAATTTATACCTAACGTTGCTTACGTTTACAATGATTTAGAAGAAAAAATAATTTTCTATTCAAACTTTTGTCTTAATAAAACTTTTACAATGTTTCTTGAACAAAAAGTTTAAAAAGGAAAATTTTGTAAACGTAAAATGTTGTTTTTTGAGTGAAAAACAGTTTTTTCTTTTAAATCGTTGGTGACAAACATTGTGAATACTTCTCCCACGTCATTTATAAAGTATTATCAAATAAAATTTAAGCAATGTATTTTTTATTATGTCGATTCTTAAAACCTGGAAAAAAATTTTTTTCAGATTAGTTGTAGACACCCTGAAATTGTATATATATTATATTGAAAATTATAGAATTAATTACAATTAAAGTTGAAAAATTCACTTTTTTACTAAAAATTCAAGTTACTGTTAGAAATATCTTGGCGATTTCTATACAAGTTGTTCAAATAATTAAATTTAAAGGAAAACTGTTTGGAAAATTATATTTGTTGAAAAATGAAGAATTTTCATTGATTAAATTTCAAAAAGCAAATCTTTTAAAGTAACAATGACAACGAAAATTTCACGCGCGTGTAGTTTTGCTAGTCTTACAATAAAAGATATTCCAAAATAAATGTAGGTATCACAAACATTTTTCTAATTATTTTTAGAATGAATTAAAATCTTCTTTAGGATCAGGGATAAAGTCAAAGTTCCAACTGGAAATCAGAAAAAAATAAAATCAACTTTTTGTGGCAACTCTGTTGATTTTTCGATAGCTGCTTTTTTCAGTGTAGAAGCTACTTTAATAATCGAGTACGAAGCCTTTAATATTTTATTTTTAATTTATTTTATTTACAGTTTTAATTTTGTTAATTTTATTTACAGAATATATTTGTCAAATAGAAGAAAGATTATGTTCAGTATTTCTTTTACAAAGTTCGTTTTTTATTTTGCAATAACAAGGAATTTTTTTTTCTATTTAAGGTGAATTGTCGCTATTGGCGGTCGACAAGAAAATAGACGTTCACGACACCCTGGCAATTGTTCCAACTGGAGAATTGGTGCTCTCATTGACACGTGCAACTTTTCAGACTCTCGGTCTCGAGGGCAAGTCATCATTCTTTAATCGCAATCAAGACGATACATCAAGACACGGTAAGTTCCCCCAAAGAGGAAGCAATATTAAAAAGAAATATTCTCGAAATGCCCAAGAAACGTCAAGTTCGAATGCTCCAAGATTTGGCTCTACATTCAATCGGCGAGTACGTCACTGATTTTGGTAAAAACATCATTCGACCGTCAGTGTGTCGCATCATTTCACAAAGTAAATCGGAAATAAATCTCTTAGCACTCGAGACAAAGCTTGTCCAGGGAATGAAATATCATTTGAGTTCGAGCGTTCCCTGGCATCTCTATGATAAACTCTCAATTCACGTTCTTCGTGCCATTGAAAATCTGGTCAATGAAATGAACAATTTCTCCAATAATGTTGATTATTCGACGACAATTCTCGCCGAGATACAAATTGTCATCACACGTCTCACTGAAATTGTGATTCATGAGAATTTGCGAACGATTGAATTCACAGCTTGGCCGAAAATAATGCGTCACGTGCTGTACAATAAATTACATGAGATGAGCGGTTTGGAAGTACTTGATCTTGGTTCGGGTTCCGTTGGATGGCGTACATCGGACATTGAGAAAATTATCATTGCCGCTGTTGGATTCATGAAGAATTTAATTGCATTCACACTCTGCTTCGATTGCACGGACAATATTGTATTTGCCCTGAGTGAAAATTGTCAAAAATTACAAAAAGTCGATGTCACCGCCTCGGGATGTGTGACAGATCGTAGTATTCCATTTTTAATCAAGTGTCATCGTTTAAGGGACATTAAACTATTTCGCACTTCGGTGAGTATTGCCGGCTATGCGAATCTACTGTTGGGTCATCGTAATTTGGAGAATATTGGCCGATACGATGAACTCGGTTATGTGCTCGAATATATTCGCAACAATATTGACAATTTTAAGGAACCATTTTCACTGCGTGTTTTCGAGAGTCGTAATGTGAGGACCGATCATCTTTATTTACTCGTTGAAATGTGTCCGTTCATAACGAATTTCTCAATTCTTCGCGACGAGAAAATTGAAGATTTAAGTTGCATTCTAGCCCCATTGAATCAATTGAAGGAATTGAAAATTCTCTCCTGTAGTTTCTATCGGAACGGACTAAATAATTTATTGAATTTAAAGGGCAATAATATTGTGAATTTACATTTGGAGCATGTCGATGAAATTGACATGTCGGCTCTCGTTTGTATCAGTCAATCGTGTCCAATGATCAAGAGCCTCATGTTTTATAATTGTGAATTTTTGGAATTGATGAGTCAACAATTGAGTGATCGAAAAGTGGCCGTGACGCCATTTCAATTTTTAGAGCGAATTAAATGCGCTTCAGAGTGCTCTAATATGCATTTGGAATATTTATTGTCATATTGCGTTAATGTGAAATTCATTCAATTGGGCTCGTCGACGGGCATTGACGACACGACAATGAGAAGAATTTTATTGAGGAATCCAATGAGCCAACTGGAGGAATTGAAAATACTCTATAGCGCCGATTTATCAATGAGTACTGTGAAATTGCTCATGGAAAATTGTCATAATTTGAGACGTATTTCAGAATTGGAAAGTTGGCAAGGAATTACTTCCGGAGAATTAGATATCTTTCGACGTGAAATTAAATCTAATAATATTGAGTTAGACACGAGTCCCACATTATCATTGGCATGAGAAATTTTTCTTTTATGTTAATTTTTTTTCTTTTCGAAGAAGCAACTTTTTATTTCGTACAATGAAAAATTTTGATATTAATGAAACTGGTCAGGGATATTTATAATAATAGATAGAAGAAAAAAAGATAGTGATAACTGAATATTTTTTTACACTTTTTTGTATATTTTGCAAAATGTAGAAAGAGAGATTTTCTATTTTTCACTTAAAAAAAAACAAATAATTTTTCTAATACATTTTTTCTCTGCCGCAATTTTTTTTCTTAAATTAAATTTTTTTGTTGCTTTATTTTACCGGTGTAAAGTCGTGACACTTGATTTGAAAAAGGAATGTTTCGCACCGGGAAAGAAGAATTATGAACGCGTTAGGAATTGCTTACAGAATTATTTCAAGGATACGTTTGATGCCATCATCGCTTGGGACCCACCTGGTAAATATCTATTTTACTCATCTAAATAAAACAGAATCATAAATTCATTTTTTACTATTTCTTCGTTTATTAAGTCTTTTGAAAGTTTATAACCGATTTGTGATTCTGTAGAATAAAATATTTCTGACGCGCTCCAAAAAAAGGAACATATAGAAGGAAAAAATTGTTTGTTCTATTTGTAATTTTTGAAATGAAAATACCCAAAGGAGATTAATTCTCAATCAATCAATTTGAAACTTTTAATTAAAAATAACAGTAGGGTTGCGACAAAAATTTAATTTTGTTTTTCCCTGATTTTCAGGCAAAATTTTAACTTTTTCCCTGACCCTAAAGAATATTCTGATTCACTCTAAAAATTATTAGATACTCAAAAAAAATGTTCTATTACAATTTTAAACTTAAAATAATTTAAAAAAACATTCAATTAAACTTTTTGAAAAAAATTAATTTTACAGAATTGTTAGTTTAAAAGTATGAAAATTTCAGATTTTCAAAGATTTTAATATGAAACCTTTTCAAAATTCAATTATTTCTAAAAATTTACGCTGTAATGCTTTTAATATTCAATTATTATCTAAAATTTTAACTGAAATTCATTTTTAAATAAATTTTTATTAGGAAATTCTACGAGAATTCAATTATTTAAATACAATAGTAAATACATAATTTATTGAAAAATTGAATGTTTCTTAAAATTTAATTCTTATAAAGAATTTTATCAACAAATTTTTAAATAATTGAATTCATTTGACTGCACCCAAGTTTTTTTTTTTTAATTGAATTTTTTTGGTAAATTTGATGAAAATAGTAGATATTGAAAATCATTGAATTAAGAAAAATTTTTGAAAATAATTAAAATTTTGCCAATAATTTTATTAAAATCTTTGAAAATAATTGAAGTTTTGCCAAGAAAATAATTTTGCTTTTTATAAAAATAATTGAAATCTTGACGATAATTTAAAAAACTTTTTTGAAGATAATTGAATTTCTGCGAAGAATTTTATTACTTTTGAAAATAATTGAATTCTTGTTATAAATATTGTTTTTTATGAAAATAATTGAATTTTGCAAAGAATTAATTCTTGTAAATTTGCGTTAAAATTTTTCATATAATATTAAAAATAGGTATATTTAAAAATTTAACAAATTTCAACGGAATTGAAATCAAAATTAAAAAAAAAATTATTTCTACAGAATTATTAATTAAAAGTTATAAAAAAATCAGATTTTTCAAAGATTTGAAATTGAAACGTTTTAAAAATTCAATTATTCCTGAAAATTGCTATTAATTGTAACTTCTTTAAAATCAGGGTTGCCACAGGTCAGGGAAATCAGGGAAAAGTCAGGGATTTTTATTAAAGTACTGGAAAAAATTAAATTTGCAGGATTCATAATTAGTTTTATTTCATTTTTTAATATATATTAAATTAATTATTAAAAATCATGGATTTATAGAAGAATTTTAGTTCGAAACAATAAAAAAATTGTATTTTAGAGAAGTTACAAATGTTTGCAAACATTTCATTTTGTTCAAAAATTTTTTAAAATTCTAGTCAAAATTTCAATTTTCTTTAAAATAATAAACATTTCACAGAAATTCAACTATTTACAAATTTTTTATAAATTTTTTCGAAATAATTCAATTATTTTCATAAATAATAAAATTTTTCAAAATAATTCAATTATTTTCATTAATAACAACATTTTTTACAAAGATTCAATTATTTAAAAATTTGATGATAAAATTCTTTATAAGATTTCAATTTTGAAAAAAATTAATTTATTCAATAATTTTTTCATTTTTGTATTTAAAGAATTGAATTCTAATAGAATTTTTTAACAAACTTTTATTAAATTTTTTAAAAATGATTTAAATCCTGTGAAGAATTTTAGTATTTAGAAAAACAATTGAATTCTTGCAAAGAATTTTATTACATTTCTTTTAAATAATTGAAATCCTGCGAAGAATTTTATTATTTATGAAAATATTTAAATTCTTGCAACGAATTCAATTGTTTTTCTATATACTAAAATTCTTCACAGAATTCCAATTGTTTTAAAAAAATTTAATAAAAGTTCGTTGCAAGACTTCAATTATTTTCCTAAAAAATGAAATTCTTCTCAGGATTTCAATTATTTTCAATACAATTTTAAAAAAATTCTTCGAAAAATTTAATTAATTTAAAAATTTTTTAAATTTTGCAACGAATTTTATTACATTTTTTTTAAATATCTAATTGAAATCCTGTGAAGAATTTTATTATTTAGGAAAACAATTGAATTCTTGCAACGATATTTATTACATTTCTTTTAAATAATTGAAATCCTGTGAAGAATTTTAGTATTTAGGAAAATAATTAAATTCTTAATTGAGAAATTTTATTAAAATAGTAGATTTGGAAAATATTTGAATTTCAGCCAAGAATTTTTATTATTTGTGAAATGTAATTAAATTCTTGCAAAAAATGTTTGAAAGTAATTACATTTTTTGAGGAATTCATTTAAAATTGTATTAAAAATAATTTAAATCCTAGGAAAAATTTTATTATTCATGATAATAATTGAATTCTTGCCAGGGACTTTATTAAAATTTATGTAAATAATTTAATTTTTTTTTTTTTGAAAAACTTTATACAAATTTAAATTATTATAAAACATGAGGATACCAACATGTTTTATAATAATATTCTTAAAAGTTATTGAGTTTCAAAAGGTTTAAATTTGAGAATCAGAATATTCTTTTGGGTCAGGAAAAAAGTCAAAATTTTGTCTGAAAATCAGGGAAAAAGAAAAATTAATTTTTTGTAAAAAAAATTTAAAAAAATTCAACTAATTTCAGAAAAGTTTGAATTATAAAAATTTTTTCATAAACTATGTTTTGACATCCCTGACTTGTGGAAACTCTGGTCATAATCTGAAAATTTGTTGCTTCTATACCTTTCTTTGGAGCGTGTCACATTTATGCCATAAATATTTAAAAAATGTATATATTTTGCCTCTTTTTCAGAAGATAGCATATGTCCTTCGTCGATAGCTGCGTGGTTTCATAAGCGTGGCTATAAAATTTCTCTCTGTCACCAAAGTGTCGTTAATCGAACGCGATATTCGATTGATGTGCCAGTTGTTGACGATTCCTGTGATTATCATCAATTTTTCGAATGGCTTGGACTCTTCAGCGTCGATGGAAATTTGTGAGTTGAAATATTTTATTTCCCATTCAAAAATAATTATATTTCAAATTATCGTTATTCTATTCAACGATTTCTTTTTCAGAAAAAGGAGTAGAGATTCCAAAACAAGTGAAATTCTTACCTCATCATCAATTTTTGCATCGAGTCAAGTTCAATATATCGAGGGTACAGGATTCTTCACACGCAGAATGGTCAACAATGTTTACAGTGCCATAAAAAAGTATATGTCAGAAAAGAATGATATTCAATGGTGTAGTATGAATGTACAAGGTTTTGCCGATAGTCCCATTAGTTGGGGATTAAAGGAACATCATTTTTATACGGACGGCGACAATAGTTATACAATTGTTTTTCGTCCTGGTGGAAAGTGTATTACACAAAAAAGCCTTAGCTCAAATAACAAACCAAGGATATTTCAATAACATTAAAAAAAGAAACTCCATAATTTTCTTTTTCTTTTACATTCACCATTTCTGTAAATAATGTGATATTAAATTTTACCATTTCACACAACAAAAACACAAAAATAAAAAAAAAATTCATAAAATTTTACAATTGTTTTATAAATAAATAAATAAAGATACATAGTAAAACTCCAATTTTCTATAGTAAATAATCTAACTTTATTGTACCAATAAATACGATAATTCTAATTATTTATTTTACAGTCTAGATTCAAAATATTATTTTAAAATACATATAGTTTTTTTTTCATGTTGAAAACATTTTTTTCAAAAAAGTTCAAATAAAAAACATTGACTAAATTGCAAAAATAAATACTGAGAGAAATGCATTGCTGTTTTTGACTAGAATTAGTTTCGTTTACGTTATTGCTTTTTTTTAAAAAATAAAAATCGAATCGTTAAATATTAATTAACAAGTCTCATATTAGGAGAAATTATTCCATTTTTGTCGTTTTACATTCTCGCTTTTCTCTTCTCTATCTACGCTTTCGATTCGTTACACTATCTTTTTTATAAAAGTTGTAATATTAAAAATAATGGCACAGTGCTTAATGAAAGCATAACATAAATGAATAACATCAAATTAAGTGAAATGGACAAAATTACTTTTTCTTATATCAAAACGTGTGTACTTTCCGATTCGGTAAACTTCGACTTGGAATTTTGCTGAGGATAAAAGTCATCGATACTGACTGAACCAAGAGAAATTCGTGACTTGGATCGTGCCATTAATTCGTTCAAATCGTCAATGTCTCTGCTGTATCTGTACAAATATTAATCGTCAAATAGTGGAAAATATAAAAATTGCTTCGAATTTATTGCACAGGGTTGCCACAGGTCAGGGAAATTAGGGAAAAGTACTGGAAAAAAATTAACTTTTAGAATTCATAAGAAAATTCTGAATTTTTGTATCTTTTTTGTTTGCCTCGTAATTATTACCAAGAATTCTAATACAAAACCTTCAATTTTTTCCATTTCTGACAATAATTTCTTTTTTAATAACTTCATTCTTGAAGAACAATATCATTAAATTATTAATTATTTAATGAATAATTTTACTTAAATATTTCAAAAATAAATGAATTACTTTAAAAGAGTTGAGTTTATACTTTTTATAAGTAGCTGAACTTCAAAAGGTTTCAATTTGAAATTTTAGAAAATTTCAATTTTGATTGAATTTAAAAAGAAATTTTAAAGAACTTAGTTTTTTGAAAAATTGTAATATTTCGAATTCTTATGAAATTATAGTTAAATTTTTTAATGTATATATTTACTTAATTTTTAAAAATAATGGATTTATAGAAAAATTTTAGTTAAACACACTTAAAAACTTGAATTTTGGAGAAGTTACAAATGATTGCAGAAATTTAATTATTTTCAAAAGTAATAAAAATTTTTGCAGAAATTCAATTATGTTCAAAAATTTTCCTGAATTAAATGACTTTAAATATCCATTAGGTATATTAATAAAATTTTCCAAAAGAATTCAATTATTTGACAAAATTTTAATAAAATTCTACGCAAACACTTAATTATTTTCATAAATAATATAAATTTCACAGGAATTCAATTATTTACAAATTGTTTTATAAATTTCTTCGCAATAATTTTAACATTTTCATAAATAATAAATATTTTTTACAGGGATTCAATTATTTTCATAAATAGGTAATAAAACTCGTCACAGAATTTCAATTATTTTAAATACAATTTTAATCGAATTCCTCGAAAAATGTAATTATTCGTAAAAATTATATTAAAATTAGTCGAAAAAATTCAATTTTTTTTCAAATTTTATTGATAAAATTCTTTATAAGAATTCAATTTTAAGAGACATTTAATTATTCATTAAACTAATTTTATTTTTGTATATTTAAAAAATTGAATTCTTGTAGGAAATTCTAATAAAAAATGATTTAAAAATGAATGTCGGCTAAAAATTTTAGATTATAATTGAATTTTTAGAAATTTTCAGAAACAATTGAATTTTGAAAACATTTCAAATTCAAATCTTTAAAAAATCTGGATTTTTCATACTTTTAATTAATAATTCTGTAGAACTAATTTATTTAAAAAATTTTTATTCCAATTCTGTTGAAATTAATTGAATTTTTTAATATGGATTTAATATTATTTTAAGAATTGTAACGCAATTCTTCGAAAGAATTCAATGATCTCAATAAATATCAGAATTCTTCCTAGAAATTCAATTATTTTTAAAAATTTTCCTCAATTCAACGATTTTAAATAACTACTATTTTAATAAAATTTTTCAAAAGAACTCAATTACTTGCATTTATTTTTTATAAATAAAATAAATAAATTTCTTCGCAATGATTAAATTTTATTTTCATAAAGAATAAAAATTTCATAAGAATTCAATTATTTTAAAAAGTAATACAATTCTTCTCTGAAATATAATTATTTTCAATTTTTTTTTATTTCTCGTCAAGATTTCAATTCTCTTTATAATTAGCAAAATTCTTCTCAAAAATTCAATTAATTCAAAAAATAATAAAATTCTTGACTTTTGAATATCTACTATTTTAATAAAATTTCACAAAAGAATTCAACAAATTAATTGATTAATTAATTTAGCGGGAAATTCAAATATTTAAAAAAAATTGTCATACATTTTTTCGAAAACAATTAATTGTTTTAAATTTTTCACTAGAATTCAATTATTTTTAGTAATTCAATTATTTTCTTAAATAAAACTCATCGCAGAATTTTAATTATTTTTAATACAATTTTAATCGAATTTCGCGAAAAATTCAATTATGCTTAAAAATTTTATTAAAAATCGTCAAATGATTTTATTACTCGGTCTTCATGTTTTATAATATCTAATATTCTTATAAGTTGTTGAACTTGAAAAAGGTTTGAATTTAAAATTTTTGAAAATCTGTATTCCTATAAAAAAATAATGATGATTAAATATTTTTTTTAAAAATCAAGTTATTAATGTTTTCGAATAATTTTCCGATTAAAAGAAATTTGTAAATAAATGTAATAGAATTTTTTTTTGAGTATCTAATAATTTTTAGAGTGAATCAGAATATTCCTTAGGGTCAGGGAAAAAGTCAAAATTTTGTCTGGATATTAGGGAAAACGAAAAATTCAATTTTTGTGGCAACCCTGTATTTGAAAGAAATAATATTATTTTTTACACAATGGGCATTAAATAATGCCTTCTGTTTTAATAAAATTTGTTTTATTCTTACCGACTGATTGGGCGACTAGGATTTTCTGAAGACTCTGATGAAGCTTTCGTCACCGATTCACCGTCGTCTGTAATATTGAAGCTTGCTGAAATTCCTATAAATTAATGTTCGTTTTTAAAATGTAATTAATTTAAGTAGTAGTTTTTTGAGAACAATTCGTAAATATTTACCGGAAGGGAACAACATTGTGTGTTTCAGTAGATCACCACTTAGGAATGGAGGTAAATTATCATCTTCGTCATCTCCCGATAATATATGATTTGCCGGATCAATCACAATTGATTCAACCATTTCAATCCACTGTTGATTGTGAGAACGGAATTTTTCCACTTTAATACGTGACGCCCAATCTTTATCGTACATCTAAAATTTTATGAAATTCTTTTTTACTTCTCCATTGATTTTTTGTATAAAATTATTATTTATTATATACTGTAAAATACTTACTGCTATCAGATCTAGACACACTTCACAAACTTTTCTTATCGCAGAATTTTTGTCGTGCATTAAGTCTATTAAATATCCTGGGGCTTCTGCAAAAAAAAAAAAAGTTAATAGTTTTTAGTAGATGAAAAATTGAAATTAAACATTTTGATGATAATGGAAAAAAATTAGTACCTGTTTCACGAATTAGATAGTCTCTGGTTAAATCGTGTTTCGAGATTTGGTAAAAAACGTATATGATCTGTAGAACTATTTCATCATCCTCTTGTTTTGCTGTCAAATTTCGTTCATTAATTAATATTTTAACTAGCAAATTATACACGCGCCAGTGCGCGAAACGAAATATTCCATTGATAATTATTTTATAAATTAAAAACTTTATATTTTTAAGAATAAACATCAATTTTTGAATGATTACAGATTCCAAATTTAAAGAATTCACTTATTAAGTAGGTACATAATATTAAATATTCATGTTTAATATTAGTCAAAAATTATAATAAAATTTTCCGCAAGAATTTCATTATTCTCATAAATAATAATATTTTTTAAAGCAATTCAATTATTTTTAATACAATTTTTAAAAAATTTTCGAAAGAATACAATTATTTAAAAAAATTTTAATTAAATTCGATTATTTTCGAGAATTTTAATATAAATTCAATTATTTTCGACAATTTTTATGAAATTCGTTTAAAAAAATCATTATTTTTGAAATTTTTTATAAAATTCCTTCAAAAAATTCTATTATTTTCAGAAATTCAAATAAAATTCTTCGAAACAATTTAATTATTCTTATAAATAATTTTAAAACCCTCCTAAAAAATTCAATTATTTTCATAAATAAAAAAATTCTTCGCAAGAATTAAAATATTTTTATAAATAATAAAATGTTTCGGAGGAATTCAATTATTTTCAACAATTCTTATAAAATTATTCAAAACAATTCAATTATTTTTATAAATTGTAAAATTCTTGGCAAGAATTCAAAATTATTTTTGTAAATAATAAAATTCTTCTTGTAATTATTTCCAAAAACTCTAATAAAGTTGTTTAAAAGAATTTAATTTTTTATGGATAATTTTTATATAATTTCAATTCAATTTTAATAACGTTTTCTCGAAAGAATTCAATTGTTAAAAAAATGTTGATAAAATTCTTGAATTCAATTAAATTATTTTCAAATTTTTTGATAAATACTTTGCAAGAATTCAATGTTTTTCGGTACATTAACTTTAAAATTGAAAACATTTAAAAAGGAAAATTATTTAATAATTTAGGAAACCAAAAAGCAAACAGCAACGAACTTCAAACTGCGAACAGATTACCGGAATACAACGATTATTAATATAGATAGAAGAAGATTAATATTGATATTAAATATTGATTTTATTATCTTATTTCTAAAATTTAGTTTACTTTTTCTCCATGTATTCCAAAAATTTCACAAACCTTTTAGCAATTCAATAAGCGACAGGAGAATATCTGCTTTGCACATTAATTGCGCACAATCCTCATCAGTAGCGGAAGTGCCCAAAAATATCACAATTTCTAAAACTAAATCATCTTTCGCCTTTCCTGAAAATAAAAAATTTAACCAAAATGTTTATATTGTTGTTTTTTTCAAAAATCTACTTAACTCTCAATTTTGAAAGTTCAACGTTTCAATTTTTCAATGTTTCAATCAATACATAATATTGTTTTGAATCAAAAATTGATTTTTTAGTTAAAAATTTATCTTTAACTTTAGAAAAAATAGAATTTCAATTTAAAGAAAATGATTTGTCAAGAAATAAATTCGATCAATGCGGAAAGATTAAAGATAAGAAAAAATTAAATATAATTTACCGGGTACGAGATTATTACGTATCCAAGGAACGAGTTTGCATGTTTGAAGAATTTGTGAGTATGCCAAATCTAATGTTAAATTCCCCATTATTCCAACAATTTCGAGAACAAAATCCTGAGAGTCCGATTGATTAACCGCCATTGCAAAATCTCCAACAAAATCCTATGGATTTGAAATTTTTCAATTATTTTCGTACAATAAAATGGAAAATGTAATTTAAATTTTGTCTTCGTCAACTTACAACAAAATTTTCTTTAGTCGAATCATGCTGCGATATGTTTCTAATCATTTTCATAATTAATGCATCCTGATTTCTGAAAGCCTTTTTAATCAATTTTTGCAATCGATTATTTTCAACCATCAGCTGAGCATTTTTATTATTCAATGCCAAGTTAATGCACAACGCGAGTAATTCTGGTTTATGTCGCTCGTCACCGGAATCCGTTAATAACATGTCTGTTAGCTGAAAATTAGTAAAAATTAATAAAGTTGAATTTCTTCAAAAATTAGAAACTTCTTTAAAGTTTTTTAAATTCTTAAATTGAGTAATTAATAAAAAAAAATAGAGGCGCATGAATATTTTCTAAATGTCATTGGACCGATGATTTCGTTTATTATTATTATGCAAATTAAAAAAATTTATTTTCAAATGATAATTTCAATTTTGGAATAATTTCAAATTCATAATAAATTTTTAAAAAATTCATGTATTACTTATAGTTTACTAATTAATTATAATTATTTATTGTTTTCTAAAACTTTATTAATAAAATTCTTCGCAGGAATTCATTTATTTTCAATACAATTTTATTCAAATTTCACAAAAGAATTCAATTATCTTTAATAATTTGATAAAATTCTTTGCAGAAATTGAAAATTTTTCATTTAATTCTTTATGAGAATTGAAATATTCTCAATACAATTTTAATTAAATTCCTGGAAAAAATTCAATTATTTTCAAAATTTTTAATTAAATTCTTAACAAGATTTCAATTATTTTCATAATTTATAAAATTTTTCTCAGAAATTCAATTATTTTCAATACAATTTCAGTGGAATTTCTTAAATAAATTCTATTGTTTTGAAAAATTTCACAAAATTCTTCGCAAAAATTGAATTATTTTGAAAAATGTTGATAAAACTCTTTATGAGAATTGAAATATTTTCAATTAAATTCCTCGAAAAAATTGAAGTATTTCCGAAAATTAAAATTAAATTCTTAACAAGATTTCAAATATTTCCATAATTTATAAAATTCTTTGCAGGAATTTAATTATTTGGAAAAATTCAATAAAATTCGTTATAAGAAAAAAATGTAATTGAATGCTTTGAAAAAATTCAATTTTTTTCGTAAATAATAAAATTCTTCATGAAAAATCCAATTATTATGAAAAATTTTGATAAAATTATTTATGTGAATTGAACTACTTTTACGATTAATCAAATTCTTTGCAGAAATTTTATTATTTTAAAGAATTTTGAAAAAATTCTTCTTAGAAATTCAAATTCTTTGAAATTTTTTAATAAAATTATTTATGGGTATTGAATTACTTGAAAAAATGTTAATAAAAATCGTCGCAAAAATTTTATTATTTTGACAAATTTCAAGTAAATTCTTTATAAGTAAAAAAAAATTATTAAATGCTTCAAAAAAATTACATTCTTTTCCAAAATAGTAAAATTCTTTTCAAAAATTAAAGTTATATTAAAAAATTTGATATAATTGTTCATATGAATTGAATTATTTTCAATACAATTTGAATTACATTCTTAAAAAAATTAAATTTTTTGAAACATTTTATTAAATTCTTAACAAAAATGCAATTATTTTGAAAAATTTTGAATAAATTCTATACGAGAATGGAAATGTTTTCAATACACGTTTAATTAAATATATCGAAATTTCAATCATTTTCATAAATTATAAAATTTTTCGCAGGAATTCAATTATTTTCAATACAATTTCAATTTCTGTCAGAAAATTCAATTATTTTAAAAAATTTCATAAAATTCTTCGCAGAAATTCAATTATTTTCAATACAATTTCATTAGAATTTCTCAAAAGAATTAAATTATTTTCAATAATTTGATAAACTTTTTCATGGAAATTGAACAATATTGAAAAATTTTCATTGAATTCTTTATGAGAATTGAAATAGTCTCAATAGAATTTTGATTAAACTTCTGATAAAAATTCAATTATTTTCGAAATTTTCAATTAAATTCTTAACAAGATTTCAATTATATTTATAATAATTTATAAAATTTTTATCGGGAATTTAATTATTTTAAAGAATTTTAATAAAATTCTTAGCAGGAGTTTTATTATTTTAAAGAAATTTAATTAAATTCTTCATATAAGTATAAAAATTTAATTAAATGCTTTGAAAAATGTAATTCTTTTCCTAAATAATAAAATTCTTCGCAAAGATTCAATTATTTTGAAAATTTTGATTAAATTATATAAGAGAATTAAAATATTTTCAATACAATTTTTATTAAATTCTTCGAAAAAATGCAAATATTTCCGAAAATTTAAATCCAATTCTTATTAAGAGTTAAATTAGCTTCATAATTTATAAAATTCTTCGACGAATTATCAACTATCCGAATACTTATGCCAATTGTCATTTTTTCGAATCGTTATTATTTGGAATACAAAAATTTTAAAAATAATAAACAAAATACAAAAATGCAAAATACAAAAAATTTTTTACGAATTGTCACTTATGCGAAAAATTGAAATTTTGCGAATTAATGTTTTTGCATAAATCACACTATGAAATAAAGATAATCGTTAAAATTTCAATTCATTAAAAAGTCAATTCGGTTAAATGTCATTTCGTCAAAAGGACAGTTCGATTGAATGACATTTCGTTAAAATGTCAGTTCGTTCAAATGACATTTAGAAAATATTCATGCGCCTAAAGAATGTATATTAAACATGAATTATACTGTACCATTGGAACGCAATCAGTATTTGGAAACATTGCCTTAACTTTATCATCCATGCTCGCATGATACAATAATCCAAGAATTGTTGACTTATTCTTTATCTCGCCGTTTGTTAAGAATTTTATTAATCTTGGTAATAATCCCACGCGGATCATTTTTCCTCTCATTTTCGTGTCAAACGAAAGATTGAATAAGAGTTTTAATGTGCACAAAAGTAGATCGGAATTATTTGTCTGCAACAATTTCGGCACTTTCTCGATGACATTTTCCTCAGCCTGTAAATAACAGAAATAATTTACACATGACATTTAAATTTAAAAAAAGAATAAATTCTTTCATTTCTTCGAAAATAAATTCATTACCATAAGATCTTTATTTTCGCGAAAAATGGCCAATTTTTTAAGAAATGTCACCACCAAAATTAGTAAATCACTGTTAAATCTGTCCAGAGTTTTTATTAGCATTCCAATAACATTTTTCTTACGCATTTTCCTCTCAACTTCCGTATTCTCGGCGATATTCAACAGTAAATAGAAAGCAACTGAAACAATTTTTATGAAATGGAAAAAATATGTTAATTAATAAAGTGTGAATATTCATAAAATATGTACCTCGGAGTAATTGTTCCTGTTTTTTGGTGAGACTCTTAAATTTTTTTCGATTCTTTTCAAGTTCATCTTTCAAACGTTTCACTTCACATTCGGGAATTTTTAGCGAGGACATATCGACTTCTTTGAATTTTTTACTATTGCTATTCACTTCGAATTCTAATGGACTATCGGCATTCCAAATATCATCGAAAAATTTCATTTTTTTATCGCCAATGTCACTGCCGTTATTTGTGGGAAATAGTAAAAGTCCTGTATTTGATTCAAAGTGACGTTTATGTTTTTCCATGTCGTCACGCCACTGATCGTATCGTTGCAATTCGAAATCAATTATGTCCATGCAGAGGGAACCAATCTGAGGAATTTGTAATTTTTTCATTAAAATTAAAAACAGGCCTTGAATCGACTTTAAGACGCAAAAAAAGTCGCTTTAGACGATTAAAAATAGAAAAAAAATCGAAAAAGTTGTTTATTTAAATTTTATTTTGTATTTCCCTCATTTTCCCCTTTCACTGATTTCTAAATTCAATTATTCGAAAATTGAATAATTTTGCTAAATAAATATTTAAATACTTCTCAATTGTTTTTCACGGGAAATTAAATTCAAAAAATTTTAATTTTAAAGCTTCTGAAATTTAATAATTTCTAAAAATTACAACTATAACTAAAATTACAATTATAACTAAACTTCATCTTTAAATCAATTATTATCTATATATTAATTTTTAATAATTTTCCGAAAGTTCTTCGAGAGTTCAATTATTTATTTACTAAAATTCAATTCTTTGTAATAATTGTAACTGTAACTACAAAAGTTATTATAAGTTATAATATTTTCAAAAAATTATAATAAAGAAATTTTTATAATTAATTTTTTAAAAATAATTATTTTTAAATAATTACATGATTGTTTTCTCCAAAATGTTAAAAATAATTCTAAAAAATGTTAATGTTCTTATTTCTTGTACGTATTTGAATTTTCGGAAATACGTAATTGAAAATATTGAAAATTAATTAATTTTAAATAATTAGAATAGAAAAATTCTATAATAAATTTTTAAAAAAATATTTTTATATATATATAATTTTTAGAAGCTAATTTTCATGAATGTTTATTTTTAAACTTACACTTCAAGATTTTTCATTAAATTTTTTGAGAATTCAATTCTTTTGAAAATTCTTTAAAAGTTGATTTTCAAAAATTGTAATAAAATACTTGAAAAAAATCAATTATTTTCAATTAAATTGTACAAAATTTCAATTATTCGATGAGTTTTATTATTTACGAAAATAATTGAATTCCGGTGAAAATAATTGAATTTTGGTGAAAACAATTGAATTTCGGTGAAAACAATTGAATTCCCGTGAAAAAGTTTTTTATTTGTGAAAATAATTGAAATCTTTTGAAGACTTTTATAAAAAAAAAATTGATTGAGAATGAATTGAGAAAATTTTATTTTAAATAATTGAAAATTTCCAAGAATTTTATTAAAATTTCTGAAAATAATTGAATTTCAGAGAAGAATTTTGATTTTTGTTGAATTTGAAACGTTTTCAAAATTCAATTATTTTTGAAAATCTCTTGAAATTCATGTTATAATGCTTTCAATATACAATAGTTTCAATTATTTCAATACAAAAATAAATAATTTATTTAATAATTAATTATTTCCTAAAATTGAATTGTAATAAAGAATTTTATCAACAAATTTTAAAATAATTTTATAAAATTTTTAAGAATAATTAAATTTTCCAGGAGTTTGACTAAAATAGTATTAAAAATAATAATTGAACTTCTGAGATGAATTTTATTATTTATGAAAATAATTTGAATCTCGGAAGAAAAAGTTTATTATTTATGAAAATAATGGAATCATTGTGAAGAAATTTATAAAAAATTTGTAAATAATAGAATTTCTGTAAAATTTTTATTTTTTATGAAAATAATTAAATGTTTGCAAAGAATGTTATTAAATTTTTTTTAAATAAATGAATTCTCTTGGGAAATTTTAATAAAATAGTTGGTATAGATATGGAGAATCATTGAATTAAGAAAACTTTTTTGAAAATAATTGAAATTTTGCCTAGTTTTGTTAAAATTTTTGGAAATAATTGAATTTCGGACTAGAATTTTATTATTTATGAAGATAATTGAATTTTTGACGGGAATTGTTTTGAATTTTCGAACATAATTGAATTTCTGCGAAGAATTTTGTTAATTTTGACTATAATTGAATTTTTGCAACGAATTTCTACAAAATTCAATTTTTTTAGTGTTTTTAACCTTCGTGTTACTAAACATTTTTGTATACGCGGACTTCCAAGGTTTATCCGGGGTAACCTCTGTGTTTTTTATTTATTTATTGCAAAAAAGGTTTAAATCTTTCAAGGCTTTTACATATAATGCTCTAAACTTCTCGTAAGCAAGGAAAATCTTGATTAATGACTTAAAATCTTGGTAGCGCGAAGGTTAAATAAAATTCTTATATAAATCTATTATTTTTAATAATAAATTAAATATATTATTAAGAAATGTAACTAAGTTCAGAAGAATTTAAATTATTAAAATTTTTGAAAAATCGAAATTCATTAAAATTTCTAATTAAATTAATTTAAAATTAATTAATTTATTAATTAAAAATTAATTCAAAACTGAAATTTTCTAAAATTTTTAATTTAAAATACCTTTTGAAGTTGATCTATTTATGAAAACTGTAAACGCAACTCTTTTAAAATTCAATTAATTTTGAAACTTAATTTTTTACTGTACTTTTAATAAAGTTCCCTGAATTTCCTGACTTCCCTGAAAAATGATTTTCCATTCAAGTGAATATTGCCACTTACTCTGTATTCCAAGACAATGTTATGAAAACGTGTGTAGGTAGAGAAGCAGAAAAATATATAAATAATATTCGTGGAGAGTTCAATACTACGCCTCCAGTCTTCCCTCAGAACTCTCGCCAAAGCGCTCAATAATGATTCTAAAAAGAGAAAATTATAATTCAATATTCCAAGCTTATACTTGTTAAAAAATTTCTATTTTTTTAACATATTCCTCTCGTTTGAATTACCATTTTTAGCGAGTTCTAATAAGTTATCCGGTATTCTCGCCAATTGCAAAATAAGTGAAGAACCCTTGACTTTGTCTGGAATTTCTTCATAGAGTAATTCAATGTAACTGTCAATATTACTGATAACAGCACGTTCCGAACTGTTGTTTTCATTGTTCATTGAATTTGTCGACGTTGGTCTCGGTGGTTGTGCATTAACTTCGTAACCTTTAAAGAAAAAATATTTATTACCTTTTACCTTTCTTTCAACAGTTTCTAGATTCTAAATGTTGATAAATTTCTAAAAATAAAATCATACCATCGTTGTTCGAACGTCGATTTTGCAGATAATAAATAAGCTGCTCTACTTCATGTAATTTTGATTCATGAATTAAGGAACATTTTTCAATCACTTCTTTCGCTAATAAAGCTACATTTGTGTCTGTATTCAAACTTTTCAGTCGGATAATTTTTTGACATTCCTGCGTGAAATAAAAGTAATTGTATAAAGCAATTTTATTTTAATTTAACGATAAGAAATTATTTACCAGTTTTGTTTTTCAGAATTTGCTTCTTTGGATGATAACTTTTAAAAATAATAAAAACTTTTCATTACCTTTCTGTCTCCAAGCATAGGATCTCCTAATTCACCTAAAATAAGTGCCTCGACGTCATAATTCACCACTAAAGCCTTTTCTGTCGGATGAACGTCCAAGGTTCCAGATCTAATTTTTCTATAATTTAAAAAAGGGGAGAAAATTGTAATTCAAATACTAACGCATATTATTTAATAATCAGGGTTGTCACGCTTTTGCTCATTTGAAATTCCCTAACTTTTCCAGGATTTCCAGGTTGAAAAACGGAATTTTTCCAGGTTTTTAAAACTAGATTTACTATTTACCAAATTAAATAACTAATAAATTTTGTTTTTTCTGATTTTCTAGAATTTTTAACTAAAATTCTTCTTTAAATCAATTATTTTTAATAATTTTTAAAAATCTTCTTTGAGAATTTTCAAATCTATTTGTTTACAATTAAATTTTACGTTAGAAAAAAAAATTTCAAATAATTTCAAAAAAAATTAAATTAAACTTTTCCAAAAACATTAATTCTGCAGAATTGTTAGTAAAAGGTTTTAAAGATTCAAATTTTCAAAGATTTTAATTTGCAAACCTTTTCGAAAATCAATTATTTCTATAAATTCACGCTATAATACTTTTAATATTCAATTATTATCTACAATTTTAACTAAAATTCATTTTCAAATCAATTTTTATTAGAAAATTCAACGAGAAATCAATTATTTAAATAGATACAAAAATAAATAATTTATTGAATAATAATTAAATTCTTATGACGAATTATAACAACAATATTTAAGAACAATTACATTTTTCGTAGAATTCGATTAAAATTGAATTAAAAATAATTGAAATTCTGCGATGAGTTTTATTATTTATGAAAATAATTTAATTATTGCGAAGAAATTTATGAAAAAATTGTAAATAATTGAATTTCAGGAAACTTTTTATTATTATTATTATTATATTTATTGTTATTATTTATTTTTTATTATTTCTAAACGTTTGTTTAGAATTTTATCAAATTATTTTTTAAATAATTGAATTCTTTTGGAAAATTCTTGAAAATAATTGAAATTTTGCCAAGAATTTTATTAAAATTTATGGAAATAATTGAATTTCGGAGAAGAGTTTTATTATTTATAAAGATAATTGAAATTTCAAAGAGAATTTTTTTTAAATTTTGAAAAGAATTCACAATTTTAACTGAAATTCATTTTCAAATAAATTTTTATTATAAAATTCAACGAGAATTCAATTATTTAAATAGATGCAAAAATAAATAATTTATTGAATAATTGAATATTTCTTAAAATTGAATTATCATAAAGAATTTTATCAACAAATTTTTAAATAATTGAATTCTTATGACGAATTATAACAACAAATTTTCAGAATAATTACATTTTTCGAGGAATTTTTTAATCTTGTATTAAAAATAATTGAAATTCTGCAATGAGTTTTATTATTTATGAATATAATTGAAATTTGCAAACAATTTTATTAAAATTCCTAAAAATAATTGAATGTTGATAAGAATTTATTACTGAATATATTTATGAAAATAATTGAAGTTTGCAAACAATTTTATTAAAATTTCTAAAAATAATTGAAATTCTTAAATAATTGAATTCTTTTGTCGAATTTTAATAAAATCTATAAATAATATTTTTCGTGGAATTCGATATAAATTGTATTAAAAATAATTGAAATTCTACAATGAGTTTTATTATTAATGAAAATAATTAAAATCCTAAAAAGAATTTTATTATTTATGTAAATAATTGAAACTCTGTAAAAAAAGTTTATTATTTATGAAAATAATGGAATAATTTATAAAAAATTTGTAAATAATTGAATTTCTGTGAAATTTTTATCATTTATGAAAATAATTAAATGTTTCCACAGAATTGTGTGAAAATTTTATTTAAATAATTGAAATGTAGCCAAGAATTTTATTAAAATTTTTGAAAATAATTGAATTTCTGCATTTATTTATAATTTTTCCAACATTCAATATTTTTAGTTATTTGAAAAGAAAAATTATTGCCAGAAATAGAAGAATTTGAAGGTTTTGTATTAGATTTGAAGAATAAACACAATAACTTTAGAAAACAACAATTTTCCAGGATTCCGATAAAAATTTCCTGACTTTTTCAGGTTTTTTTTAAGGTTTATAAAATTCCCTGACATTTCCAGGTTTTCCAGGTTGTGTGACAACTCTGATAATTATCAAACTAAGAATACAATATAGTAAATACAATAATGAAAATATAAATAACTATAAATATAAATGAAAAACGATAAATACAATAAAGTAAATTTTTTTCAAAATAATATTTTTATACCTTTTTAAATATCTGGCTTCGTCCATTTTAAACTAGAAAACCTTTTATTTTTCTAAATCGTCAAGAATTACTGACACACTATAAATTGCAAAAAAATTGATAACAAACGTTTTGTAAAATTCTGGTTTAATTTAACATAATACTCTGATTAATTTTGACTTATTTTGTCCCAAGTTTCACGCTCTTTCACGCGCAGTAAAATGAAATATTCTTGACAACATTGACATCCGTTGCTGTAGACAACAAGCAAACTAAAGTTCAATTAAAGTATTGAACACTTTGTGCTTGGGATTGTCATGAAGGAATCTAACTTATCGTTTGTTGCGAAGCTAGAGAGCGTCGTAACAGTTAGTAAAGTAGAAAAATGAAATGTTCGGGGGGTTCGGGGATTTAAAAAAAACCCTAACCTCGCGCATCTTCCGCCAGGCAGAGCTAAAACCTTTTCCTTTTTCTCAGAAAGAAAGACGCGATTTTCCTATTACAATTTTTTCCCTTGTTGGGTATAGAAATTTTTTTTTACCGTCAATTATTTATTTATTATTTATAGAAAAGTTTAGAATTCTAGAAAAATTGGATAAATTTTTGATTGCGTCAAAATATTCTGCCAAGTGAATTTATAAGGTTATCTAGCGTTACATTTTCAATTTATAAAGATGCATTTTTTTCTATATTCATGCATTTTGTATTTGATTTGATGCAATGTCTGATATAAATTCAGAAGTGCACATCAAAAATAAAACGACCAGCCTTCTCACAGATTTACGAAGATTCAGATTTAAGAAGATAGTGAAGAAAATGAACACGTGTAAGTTAATTTTGTTATAATTTTCTTTGTTAAATTGCAGGGAGGAAAAGGTTTGTTTTCACTACATGTCAGTTTAACTGTTATTTTTATTCATGGAAAATCCTAGAACATTTTTACCTTTACTTTGATAATTATTAACAGAAAAGGTTAGGTAAAAAATTAAAAACTGATTCAACACTTTTTAAAACTCATTTTGAGAATAATTTTGAAAATAATTATTAAAAGCCATTTATTCGATTCGTTATAATTTTTTCTAAAGTGAGTTGAATCAGTTTTAATGAGTTTCTGTAAATTTGAAGTTTCAATAATTTTAATCATGTTCTATTCTTTTGTAATTACAGCCGACGAAGATAGTAATATGAGTCCCGAAATAACAGTTCGGCGAAAAGCGGTGAATCGTATCGAGGATAGCGACAGTGATGTTGGCAGTTCAACAAAACTTGCCAACTCAGATTCTGATCGAAGTTCTGAATCTAATGACAAACAAGAGAAAATTAAGTACCTGATAAAACTGTTTCCGAAAAAAGATTCCGAGGTACGTTACAAAATTGTGCATTATCTTTTATTCAAGTATTGCCAACCGGGGTTATTTTGTGTACCAGCCATTTTTTGACAAAACGATTTATTAAAATTCGGAATTAAAAGAAAATAGTAAGTCAACTATTGATATATGTTGTGGACATCCTTCTAAATGTGTCCTATGAATTGACCGATGAAAAAAAATTTTTTGTCTGAGTTGTAGTTATTAAAAAAAATCGAAGTTCGTCTTTTTATAATGTTGAGTAAAGAATTTTTTTTATCGTTTCTGCTTTATTAAATCATTTTTGTAGATATTCCAGAATAAATAAAAAAAAGTACATGCTTCATACTTATCTACCAAAACCTACTATTTACTACTTTTTTTTTAGATTTGTGACAATTATTTAATAAATTATTATATATTTTTGTATTGAAATAATTGAATTCTTATAGAATATTTCTAATTATTTTCAAAAAAAATTTTTTAATTCTTGGCAAGATTTCAATTATTTTTATAAATAGCAAAGTTCTTTTCAATTAAATAATTGAATTCTCGTAGAATTTTTTAATAAATATTGATTTTAAAACGAATTTTAGTTAAAATTTTAGATAATAATTGAATATTAAAAGCATTATAGCGTGAATTTTTAGAAATACATAATTGAATTTTGAAAAGGTTTCATATTGAAATCTTTGAAAATCTGAATTTTTCATATTTTTTAACTATCAATTCTGTAAAATTAATTTTTTCAAAAAAGTTTAATTGAATAGAATTTCAATTTGAAAATTCTAAAAGAACTTTTTCAAAAATTATTAAAAATAATTATTTTTGAGAAGAATTATAGTTAAAAATTCTAGAAAATAATAAATGAATTCAAATGATAAAAATAATGTTGAAGAAGTTACTGCAACAATATATGGGGCATTCCAGGCCAAATCGGAAATTATTTTGCTTTTGCATCTCAAATTTTTTTTAAACATTTTTTTTCTTGTAGTACTCTTTGAAATGAGCTACCTTGATTTTTTTCAAATTTTTTCATAAAGCGGTTCAGGAGATACAGATTTTTGAAAAATGACGTTTTTTACGTAAATTTGTGTTTTAAATGCTTATAACTCGGTCAAAAATTGATCAAATTGGACGTTATTATAATGAAAAGTTTTATTTTCACGCGTAGTTTTTAATAAAAATATTTTTAAAAAAATTTTAAATAATTTACGATAAGATTTAAAAATTTTTTAAATAAAATTTCATTTTTAGCAATGTATGTATCAATCAATTTTTTTCAAAATTTTTTGTAAGAAACTAGCACTAAATTAACAATTTTTAAGCCTTGTCCGATCGTGGGCAAACGATGGGATCTATTTATTTAAAATTTTTTAATTTTTATATACCTACATAGTGATTTGGTCGTTTGACCAAATCACAATTTTACACAGAAAGAAGGTTAAGTTTGGAGAGACTCAGTCTGAAAACACATTTGCTGTAAAAAATTTGTGTGATTTTATCAAATGGCAAGTTAGTTATTGGCCATCACTGCGTATATAAAAATTAAAAATTTTTAAATAAATAGAAATAAATAAAATGAAATTTTATTTAAAAAATTTTTAAATCTTATCGTAAATTATTGTAAATTTTTTTAAAAATATTTTTATTAAAAACTACGCGTGAAAACAAAACTTTTCATTATAATAACGTCCAATTTGATCAATTTTTGACCGAGTTATAAGCATTTAAAACAAAAATTTACGTAAAAAAACGTCATTTTTCAAAAATCTGTATCTCCTGAACCACTTTATGAAAAAATTTGAAAAAAATCAAGGTAGCCCATTTCAAAGAGTACTAAAAGAAAAAAAATGTTTAAAAAAAATTTGAGATGCAAAAGCAAAATAATTTCCGATTTGGCCTGGAATGCCCCATATAAAGTATATATTGTATTGGAATTTATAGAATTAATTACATATTAAAGTTGAAAGATTCACTTTTTTAATAAATTTTTTTTTTATTTAGAATCATATTACTGTATAATAAAATTATAATCTTTAGACGAATGAATTTAAATTTATAAATGTTAGATTTTATAGAAAATTATCTAAAAATTAAATATACTTGTCGTTCTCGTTAATGCTTCCTCCACGAGGAAGCAAATTTTTTTGCTGATCGTAAAGAGGAAGCAAAATGTTCATGTAATGAACATCTGGATTCCCGCAACTTGTTTTAGTATCTAATCATTTTTAGAGTGAATCAGAATACATCAGAATCAATCAGAGAAAAGTCAGGGAAAAAGAAAATTAATTTTTTGTGGCAACTCTGTTGTAGTTATTCATTGAATTTAAAACAATTTTCAGCAACTCGAGGTAGTATTGGCAAAATGCGACTGGAATCTTGAGGAGGCAGAAGAATCTCTCAATAAACGTAGGAAAAGATCTCACGCTCCCAAAGGTAAGAAACGTAATAAAAAGCGTAGAAAAATGAGGGACGATGAAGAGGATGTTGATGTCGATTCAGATGAAGCCAATTATTCCAGCAAAGTATTCGATAGGTATGATTTAAAAAATGTTTAACAAACTTTAACAAACAGTTGCTATATTTGATAGGAATTTTCATTTGAAAGAATGTGAACGTATCCGAATTTTCCAAGACAATTCGCTAATTGTCTTGGACAATGTCCATGTCTATCAAATGAAAATTTGAAATCAAATCAAACAAAATTTGGAGAAATTTCAATTAAACAACCTTTCAGCGATGATGATTCAGACGTCGAAGTATCAAACCATCTGACAAGTGATAAAAAAGCAGTATTAGACTTTATGCAAATTGCTATGCCGTCCGAATTTTTATTAATGCATCAGTGTACGCAGAAAAAAGTGGACGCAATTATTGCAGCCAGGCCTTTTACCAGTTGGCGAGATATCGTTGGAAAATTTCAAAACAATAAATTTTTAGACACTGAACTCTTAAACTCCGCGCAGGTAGTTAAAACACTTAATTAAATTCTATTCTTAAAAATTGTTGTCAATTTTTGAATTTTCTTTAAAATATCATCATCAGTCGTTGCTGGCAACAAGAAGCGTTGTGGAAAATCTCATGAAGAAATGTTTGCGATTATCAACAACAATGGAGAAGGCAGTTTCTGCAGGTTCAGCGACAATCACTCAGCAGCCAGCGGGAATTCCAGACGATTTAAAATTAGCCCCTTATCAAATGGTGGGATTGAATTGGTTGGCTGTGATGCATGCTCATGGTGTTAATGGAATTCTAGCCGATGAAATGGGTCTCGGTAAGACTATTCAAGTAATTGCTTTTCTCTCCTATCTTAAGGAATCCGGATTCTATGATGAAAACGATGGACCGCATTTGATTGTCGTTCCAAGTTCCACAATGGGTAAGTGAAGACATAAACTTTTTCCAAAAGAAATGAATCCTGAGACAAATAATGTTTATGAATTTTCTCTTTGCAGAGAATTGGTGTAATGAATTGGAGCGATGGTCACCAGACTTGAAAGTTGTTAAGTATTACGGTTCACAGGATGAACGACGGGATATGAGAATGGGATGGCGAAGTGGTGATTTAGACGATGTTGATATTATTTTGACGACTTACAATCTTATAAGCAGTACACCGGAGGAAAGACGATTGTTTCGTGTGATGCCTATTCAATATGTTGTTTTCGATGAAGCGCACATGCTAAAAAATATGGGCACAATTCGCTATGAGAATCTTGTCAAAATTAATGTAGGTATACGAAAAATTTAATTTAAATTCAATTTGAATTCAATTTATATTAAATTTAATATAAAATTGCAAGAAATTTAATTTATTTCCATTTTCTTTCAGGCGAAACATCGAATTCTCCTAACTGGAACTCCATTGCAAAATAATTTACTCGAACTAATTTCACTTTTAATATTCGTCATGCCTACATTGTTCGCTGGAAAGCAAGCAGACTTGAAAAGTTTGTTCTCGAAAAATCCTGTAAGTACTAATTAGTAAGTAATTTTACTATAATTGTGACGCGTTCCCAAGAGAGATACCTAGGAAGCAAACGAATTATAGGTTACGTTTGTCTTAGATTCATCTGGATTGAAATTCCCCGTTTAATTATGTAAATTTGACACCTTTTTTTATTGAATATTTTTTATGTAATGAAGAATTGAACACCAACGATTTACAATAGTATAATTGATTCTATTTCTGTATTTTTACTTCAAAAATTATAAAAATAACCTTTCTTGTCTGCACGTCACAATTACAGATAAATTTTACTACTCCCAGGCGTTGGATATTGACTTTTTCTACTTCTTTCGCCTATTTTCAAAAAATGCGACTTTTTTTTACTTATTTTCAAACATTGAGAATTTTTCGATTTTTTTCCAAATTTTGCAGCAAGATACCACATTTTTAATATAAAATGCAACTTATTTCGATTTTTATTGTGTGAAAAATAACTATTGAAAAATATTCCAAAAATTATTTTTTAATAATTTTTTTAAAATAACTAAATAAATAAATTCAAAATTAAATATAATTCAAAAATTTTTGCATAATTGAAATTTTGTAAAATTTAATTGAAAATAATTGGTTTTTTTTCTAGCATTTTATTACAATTTTTGAAAATCAACTTTTGAAGAACTTTAATTGCAGATTTTGAAAATAATTAAATTCTCAAAAAATGAAAAATTAATTTATGAAAAATCTTTAAGTGTACATTTAAAAATGAAAATTAATGAAAATTAGCTTCTAAAAATTATATTAAAAAATGGAATTCTGCGCATTTTTAACATTAGCATTTTTTATAAATATTTTTAACGTTTTAGAAAACAACATTGTTCAAAATTTTTAGTTAAAATTAATCAAAAAATTAGTTTTTTTTAAATTATATAAAAAATTATCAAATATTTTCAAAAAGTTACATTACAATATTTTTAAAAATCAAATTCTTAAAATTGTTTTATCATAATTTTATAAGATTCAATTCTCTTCGAACAAAGTAAATTAAAATTTTTTTAAATTTACCCTTTTAGACTTATTAAAAAATTCTTCGCAAAGAATTCAATTATTTTCATAAATAAAAACATTCTTCGGAAGAATTTAATTTTTTTTATAAAAAATAAAACTTTTGGAAAAATTCAATTATTTTCAACAAAATTTTAATAAAATTTCGTGGAAGAATTCAATTATTTTCTAAAATTTTAATAAATCCTTCGAAACAATTAAATTATTTTTTAATTTTTAATATGTAACATTTTTTGAAAGAATTCAATTATTTTCTAAAATTTTAATAAATTCTTCGAAACATTAAATTATTTTTTAATTTTTAATAAAATTTTTCAAAAGAATTCAATTATTTTCTAAAATTTTAAAAAATCCTTCAAAATAATATTCAATTATGTAGTAAAATTCATCACAAGATTTAAATTATTTTTTATAAATAATAAAATTCTTCTCAGGAATTCAAAAAATTATCATTCTAATAAAATTGTTTAAAATAGTTTAATTTTCTATGAATAATTTAAATAAAATTTTAATAGTAAAATTATTAATTGCAATTATTAACAAAAAATCGATTATATTCAATAAATTAAAGAAATTTTTTGAAAGAATTCAATTATTGTTAAAAATTCTAGAAAATAATTATTGACTTTTGGAAAAATTGCAGTTGTAATTTTTGGAAATATTTAAATTTCAAAAGGTTTCATATTGAAATGATTTGAAATTTCGATTAAGATAAATAATAATAAGTTTTTAAATATTTACCTAACAAAAATTATTCAAGTTTTGAATAATTAAAAAATTATTATTATTAACAAATTATTTAAGTTTTGAATAATTTAATTTAGAAAATCTAAAAAAAATAAATTTGAAAAATTGTAATTAAAATCTTTTTGAAGATAATTGAATTCTTGAAAAACTTTCGGTAAATTATTAAATGTAATTGATTTAGAAATGAAGTTTAGTTAAAAATTGTAGAAAATAATTAAATTTTGGAGTTGCATGGAAAGACAAATAAGAAATATTGAAATATTTATTTAACAAAATTATCCAATTTTCGAATAATTGAATTTAGAAATTAGTGAAAAATCAGGGAAGTAATAAAATTTTTGTGACAACAAATTAAATAAACGAGTTTTTCGACTTTTTTCTATTTTTAATCGACTAAAGTGACTTTCTTTGTGAATTAAAATCGATCCGAGGCCTGCAATTATAATTCTTATTAATGATTAATTTTAAATTTATTCTGTTCATTATGTTTACGAAGAGAATTTTTTTTTCTTGCAGAAAGTATCGGCAACGAAGGACAGTAAAGACAAGCCGCTCTTTGAATTGGAGCAAGTTAAGAATGCCAAGCAAATAATGAAACCATTTGTATTGCGTCGTCTAAAGTCAGAAGTTTTACGCGATCTTCCGAAAAAGTCTGAAGAAGTCATGAGAGTTCCTATGATTGAGAAGCAAAAGGAAATGTACAGAAATTTATTGAGTGAATTCTCAGATGAGGCGAATAAGCATAATGTAATTAACGGAGTTGGAATGATGATGCAATTGAGAAAACTCGCAAATCATCCACTTTTGTTTAGATCCTATTACACTGAGGATAAACTGAAGGTTTGTTATTAAATGAATTTTACATTTTGCATGTATGACGTTCTGACGCTTCGGTGGAAACGAAACGCGAACCTATTGCGACGAGAAGTTTAAGTTTATGCTCGTTTTATGATGATTTTGATTAACGAGCGTTTTTTATACCAAGTTGAAGTCTACAATGTTGATCAACGAAAAAATTTTTCTAATTAGTATATTATTCAAAGATAACGCAACAATGTTCTCAAAAAAATTTATAAAAAAGGTTGATTTTTATTTTCGCTTTAAGAATGATAATTGTTGTATATTTCTTTAAAGTAATGTTCATAATATTAAAAAAATTCTTTTCGTTGAATCAGGGTTGCCACAAGTCAGGGAAAAGTCAGGGATTTTTATTAAAAGTACTGGAAAAAATTTAATTTTTAGAATTTATAAGAAAATTCTGAATTTTTGTGTCTTTTTTGTTTGAATTTAAATAGAAATTTTAAGATGAACTGATTACAGAAATTCAATTATTTTCAAAAGTAATGAACTTCTTCGCATAAATTCAATTTTGTTGAAAAGTGGTTTAAAATCCTCGTCAAAATTTCAATTATCTTTATAAATAATATAAAATTCTTCTCCTAAATTCAATTATTTTGAAAAATTTTAATAAGATTCTTGGCAAAATTTCAATTATTTTTAATATCTACTAATTTAATAAAATTTTCCAAAAGAATTCTATTATTTAAACAAAATTTTAATAAAAAATAGTTCTAAGAAATTCAATTATTTCGAAAAATTTAAATAAAATTATTTTAAAAGTTGTATTATTTTAAAAAATTTTGACAAAATTCTTTACAAGATTTAGTTAATAAAATTGCAATTATTTTTTATACAATTTTAAATAAAATGATAGAAAATTGCATTTATTTTTACAATATTTTAAAAAAATTTTCGAAAGAATTCAATTGTTATTAAAAATTTTGATAAAATTCTTCATAAAAATTCAATTTTAAGAAACATGGAATTATTGAATAAAATATTTATTTTTGTATTTAAATAATTGAATTCTCGGGAAATTTTCTAATAAAAATTGATTAAAAAATTAATTTCACTTAAAATTTTAAATTATAATTGAATATTAAAAGCATTATAGCGTGAATTTTTAGAAATAATTGAATTTTGAAAAGGGTTAAAATTAAAATCTTTGAAAATTTGAATTTATGGTTACAATATTCTTATGATAAGAAATAATGATTTTATCACTCTGGCATCTTAAATTTATTATAAAACATGACGAAATCGATCACTCCGAGTCGAAGACTTTTATAATAATATTCTCATAAGTTATTGAATTTGAGAATCTTAATTTCTATAGAAAAATAATAATGATGAAATATTTATTTAAAAAAGAAGTTATTGATGTTCTTAAGGGTCAGGGAAAAAGTGAAAATTTTGTCTGGAAATCAGGGAAAAGTCAGGGAAAAACAAAATTAAAATTTTCTGGCAACCCTGGTTGTGGATTTCAACTTCGTTTTTTTTATATTTTGTAAAATTTTACATGTAATAAAAATTTGCGAAATATTATTAGTTTGCATTGAGAGTTAATTTTCTTTAGGTATTTTTACTTTAAAAAATCAAACTTAAATTTCTTGGTCCTTTTCATCATTTAGCGTCATTTTTATTGCTAGAATACAAAAAACATGTTTTTTTTCTTGCAGACAATATCAAAAAGACTTGCCATGGAATCGGGGTACAAGCAGAAAAATCCAGATTATGTTTTCGAGGATTTATTATGGATGTCTGATTATCAGATCAATCAACTCTCTCGAACATTCAAGAGCATTGCAGGATTTGGTCTACCGTTGGACTTCATTCCCGAGTCGGGGAAATTGAAAGCCCTCGATGAACTTTTGCCGAAACTGAAGGAGGAAGGACATCGAATTTTAATTTTTAGCCAATTCACCATGGTTCTGGATATTCTGACAGAGTACTTGACTCTTAGGAATCATAGACATTATAGGTTGGTCCTTGTTTAGAATTTTTTAATATATTCCTAACGCTTCACGATGAAAGAGATTTAATTTTATGTTTATGATCGTTCTACCACGAAAAAGTTTGAAAAGTCATTGAATTATAAGCATTTTTTTAATCATTATAAACTTAGATCTCTTGTCGCTATTAGGTCCCTTTTCCTTTTCCCTTTATTGACAAGAAACAATTTAAATACATACATTTCTTGTTATTTAGATTGGACGGCCAAACTCCAGTAACCGAGAGACAGGAAATGATTGATGAGTTCACTCACGACAAATCGATTTTCATTTTTCTATTATCGACACGAGCTGGAGGTTTAGGAATTAATTTAACAGCAGCGGACACTGTTATTATTCACGACATTGATTTTAATCCGTACAATGATAAACAGGCCGAAGATCGTAGTCATCGAGTCGGACAAACCAAGTAAATTAATTTAAACTCTAAGAAATTGCATTTGTTAAATCTCTGTAGGTGAATTTTATAATATAAAAATTGTAAATATTTTTCAGACCCGTGAGAATAATAAGGCTGCTAAGTGAAGGAACAATAGAAGAAGGAATGTATCAAATAGCACAAGAAAAATTACATTTAGAGCAACAAATCACTGGTAATGAAGGTAAGTCATTTTTTTCACGATTATTATTTAATTTTATTAATTATTATCACCAGCATTCAATTATTGAGAGAATACAGTTGATCGTTCAATAAAAATATATAATTTATATTCTCATTTATTTTCATTATTAACATTTTGTTAAATTCTCGAATTCTTTTCTTAGAAATAAATAAAAGAAAATATATTAATTCAGGGATCATAGTGATTTTTGAATATTAGATTAAGAAAAGAAGATTTTATTTTTCAAAAAACGGATTCAGTTTGAAAAAGGGAATTTTTAAATTAAAGATAAATTATTGTATTCGATAAAATTTATTTTAAAGATTTTTTTTACTTTTTCTTTTAACTTCAGCTTTTTTAAATCAAATTTTTTTTGCTAAACTTTATCTGTTAATTAATTAATATTTTTTTCATCATTTTCCGTAATCCGTAACTTTTTTAAAATTTTGAATCAAAATTTTTATTATAACACTACTTTTGTTTTAAAATTCCATTAATTTTATGATTTATGAAGTAAATTTCAGAAAAAAGTAGTAAAAGTAACCTTAGGACTTGGAAAAATTTCCTTCAAAAATCGTAAAATTTAATATTAAAAATTATTATTTCCAGAATAACTTTTACTATTTTTAAAAACAATTTTTTTAAAATAAAAATTAGAAAAATTTATTTCAAAAATAGTAAAATTTAGTCTAAAAATAAGAATATTTCATAGCTAATTGTAATGTTCGAGGGAAATTTGAATAATTTTTTAATTTTTATAAAAGAAAATTGACATTGAAAACATAGGGTAGAGTGGGGTGAAAAAGCCATGGTGTAAAAAAGCCATTTGAGTTTTATTTAAAAACTATTAAGCCGATTTATCAGCTGTTTAGAATATAAATACTATTAGGTAATACGCAACTTTTGAATCTAGTTTGAATGTTGTACCTAGATTAATATTGTTTTTATTGTAATTTTAATTTTTTGTTGCTTTTTTGAAAACATTTTGGTGAACTTTTCAAACATATTACAATCTGATTAAGTGAGCGAATAATAAAAGTAAATAGTCGAAATCTTCCTTAATTAATAAAAGTAAATGTTTGTACATAAGGAGAAAAGTATACCGAAAACGTATACAATGTTAATTTTTGGAAATTGAACTGAATTAACAATTTATTTTTGCTTTTTTTAATAACTGGTCTTGGGTGTAAAAAAGCCAGGGCAAAAAATCCATTGAATATTTTGTGAAATTCACTTGTTTTCTATTTAAACTAACCTTCTTATTTTACAAAATTTTTCGTGTTTATTTAATAAAATAAATTAAACACGACGAAAAAGTAGTTCAAAGTGCATTAAAAAAATAAACAATGAATAAACGGTTGCAACGAAATATGTTATCTGTGGTGAAACTTAAAGAGAACTTCTAAAAAATGTACGAAAAATTATTGGCAGTGCAAATCGAAAACAGGTAAACTTAATATAATTTTCAATTTTGCTTGCTAAAAACTCTTTCATATTTATTAAAATATTTTTCAAATAAGACTATTTGTCATATAAATAAAGGAAAACTATAAAAATACCTAAATTGATAACATGTTTTGCTAAAATCGTAGGGTGGCTTTTTCACCCCACCAGGTGGTGCAAAAAAGCCACTTGCAGTGCTTTCGTAAAACTCTTATAACTTAGTCCTTTCATGAGATAAAAAATATTTCCGTCAAGAATTTTCAAGCTTAATAACTAAACTTTCAATAACAATTGGAAATTTGAGAAAAAAATTTTAAATACAGATTTTACAGCATCAAAAGTAAAAATGTGGCTTTTTTACCCCTCTCTACCCTATACTTTGAATTTAGTAAAATTTATTCTGAAATTAATACAATTTGTCAAAAATTCCAAACAATTTCCTAGAAGTAAGTTATTTTATATTTTTTACCTTTTATGAAAAAAATTCTAAGTTTAAAAACTCTGAGAAATAACAATAATAATAATAAGAAAGATGTTTAAGTTTCAAAATACTAAATATAAATTTTTCCAAAGTTTGCGAAAAGTAAAAATTTTTTCTTCAAGCATAACTACAAAATTTTTTAACTTACAAAAAAATGACAATTTTTACAAGTTTTTCTTAACTTCTATTATTTAAATAGCAAAGAATGAACAAAATTTGCATGATCTTGATTTTTTAATTATTATTATTAGTTACAACAGGATTTTATATTTTTTTTTAAAAAAGGAAAGAAAATGGCATAATTTCTTTTTCTCAATGACAATTTTTTAATAATATTCAAAGTTTTCATTAAAAACGATGAAAAAAGTTTGATTTTCTATTTTGTACCTCATTTAAAAACTTGACACAACAAAGAAAAAAAAATAAATTAAATCAATAATTATTTTCAATTTGTAAACATTTTTTAGAATTATTAAAAAATACTAAATAACTTTATTCTTATTTTTTATTGAAGTCATTTATTTATTAAAATTATTAAAAATTATTATTATTTATTAATAAATTAATATTTATTTAAAGAGTAATATTGAGACTTTGTTGAAGAATTATGATAAAGAAATAGAAAATATGCAAAAAATACTAAAAATTTTGTAAAACAATGCGATTGTCAGATCAAAATTATGAAACTTTCTTTCAATTGTGTTATAAAACACTTAAAATTTCCAATTATAAAAGTTTTGTAAAAACAATGCGATTGTCAGATCAAAATGATGAAATTTTCTTTCAATTGTGTTATAAAACATTTAAAATTTCCAATTTTATTTCCAATTAAAAAATAGAAAGGATACAAATTTTTTAACTGTTTTTGAAAAAATATATTTGAGATTTTGCTTGGTAATGAAGAAATAGACATTATGCAAATTCTTTTTATTTTTAACGAGATAAAATGAAAGTTTTTGTAAAAAATTGTGAGATGGAGAAATATCAATGATTCAAATTTATTTCTTTTTCAAAAAAAAAAAAATTATGTAAATTATTTTCATGAATTTCTAAAAAAATTTATAATTTCCTTAAAAAATGTGATTAAAAAACAGAAATTACCTACATAAATTCTTTTTCCAAGAGAAACTAAAAATTTGGTATCCAAAAAACTTTTCACTTTTATTTTCAATTAAAAATTGTGATGGAATTTACAAAAATAATTTTCCTTTATTTCTAAACATATCTAAGATTTTGATACAAAATTGTTAAAGAAATAGAAATAATGCAAATTTTTTATTTATTACTAAAAAAAATTGGAAGATTTGATTGAGAAGTATAAATGTTTCAAATTTATTTCTGTTTTTATTCTTTTTTTTAAAAAAACAGAATTTTGTATAAAAATTATAATTATAAAAAATAGGAATTCTGCAAATTTTTTTTTTCATTAATTTCGGAAGAAAATTATAATTGCCTTAAAAATTGTGATTAAAAAACAGAAATTTCAAAAATTCTATTTCCAAGAGAAGCTAAAAATTTGATAACAAAAAAATGATTAACAAACCAAATATTTTTTTCCTTTATTTTGTTAAAATCTTTTAAACTTTTCAGTTTTATTTTCAATTAAAAATTGTGATTTTTATATAAAATCGTAGTGAAGAAATAGAAATTATTCTAATTTTTTATTTATTACTAAAAAAAATGTGGAAGATTTATTTAAAAATTTTTTCTTTATTTCTTTTTCAAAAAAACAAGATTTTGTATAAAAATTATACGTAATTATGAAAAAATTAGAATTCTGTAACTTTTTTTCATTAATTTATAAAGAAAATTATAATTTCATTAAAAATTGTGATTAAAGAACTGAAATTACCCAATTTTTTTTTTCAAAAGAAACTCAAAATTAAAAAAATTAACCAAAAAATACAATTGTCAAATCAACATTATAAAAATAATAAAAATAATAATAAATAATGATAAATTATAATAATAATATCTGATTTTATTATTAAGACTATACAAACTAATTAAATTTATCATTTCCAGAAAACGAGGCTGGTGATAAGAAAGGAGTCCTAAAATTATTGAAAATAACTCTTGGATTAGATATTCACAATAAATCACTGACACTCTCACCCGTGAAGAATTCTCATGATCTGGATGGACTGACAGAAAAGGAAATGGATAATTGTGAATTAGACGATTAGCAAAATTCTCAAGTGCGACGTGTGAGTGATTTTACACGAAATTGTAATTAAAATAATTTTTGACATTTTCATACGTATTTACAAATTAGGATACATAAGTTATACAAGTTTTTCGACCGTTCACTTTTTTTTAAATGTGAATATTGTTATGAATACACACAAATTGTGAATCGTAATTCTTATTTATTTCTCGCGATTAGGTAGGAAATTTATTTAACCCTCGCAGGAACGAAAGGGAATTTTTTTTATACTTGCCTTATTCAAGTTTTGATACTCGTTTTTTTTTTTTTTTTTTGAAGTATAATTTACTGTGATAAATTAGCTGAAAATAAATAGAAAATTTACTAATCTAATGAAAAAAGAACATTGTCTGATGCTGCGAGAATAAATTGGAATAATTTTAAAATTATTTTATTTAACTTTACCTGCTTTTTTAGACAAGGTTTGACGACATTGTGGTGTCTTTTAGTTGTTTTTATTTAAATAGTTGATAATTGTGATGATTGCCGAAAATTACGAGTGAATGTTTGCTCAATTAAACTTTTATAATTTATAAATTGCGCTTTGATATGAAATAATTGTACCTCTGAGGGTTAATAATTCTTCTTGTTTTAGAGAACCACTTATATTTTTATACTATATTGTTGTTTTGCTGGCGACAGTGGAATGTTTATTTACAGCCTATTTATATTAATTCAAACACAGTGAAACACGTAATTTAATAAACAATTTGCTTCAAGAAATTGATGTTTACTTTAATTAATCTAAAACGCAGCAATAGACATAAAACACTATAGATTTTGATTTTAGTTAAAAATTCTTTCTCTATTATTCCTTCAAATATGAACCCGAAACATTTTATTCTTTCAAGATGAGAAGAAATTTCTGAAACCCCTTTTTCTGAATGTTTAAACAATTTTTTCAATAATTATTTATAAAAATTAGGCAAAATTCTGACAAATATTCTTTTCTTTTCAAATGAGAAGAAAATTGCAAAATCACTATTTTCTCCCGGATGCTCTTAATAGGTAACAAGGAAATTATTCAATAACGAGAATAATAATACAGAATATTTCAATATTAATTTTATAGAAATAAAATAAAAAGAAAAGGAATTATCAATAAATAATAGTAAACATCAAGAAAAATAAATATAAAATTAATTATCTAAATCATAACAAATAAGGAACATAAAGTAAGCAATACAGTAATGAGTTAAAGAGAAAAATTATAAATAACTTAACATAAATCAGTAATTCGTCTTTTAAATAAAAATAATAAATAAACCGCAAAATAATAAATGAATATCACTATGAAATCACTATAAATCACTGTAAAAATCAACAGAGAAAAATAAACATCAAATAAATAAATAGTGAATGTCAAATTAAGTCGATTGTAGAAGATAAATCTTATTGCAAACTGCAAAGTTAAATTTAAAACTCTTCTCCGAGTCCTTACAATAAACATTGATTAAAGAGAGAAGAGCAAAAACAAATAAAAGAAAATAAAAACGATAAAAAAAACATTTTAACAGAAAATAAACAGAATGAGTACATGTTATGTTAAATTACAGAATTACTAGTCGTAAAAGATTAACTAATTCATTAATTATATAAGTTTAAAACCAGTTTTTATTGAATATTTTTGATGTAACAAAAACTTGAACATAATTAATTTTTAATAGTTAATTGCAGGGTTGCCACAAAAATTTAATTTTGTTTTTCCCTGATTTCCAGACAAAATTTTGACTTTTTCCCTGACTCTGAAGAATTATCTGATTCACTCTAAAAATTATTAGATACTCAAAAAAATGTTCCATTATACATTTATTTACAAATTATAATTGTAAAATTATTCAAAAACATCAATAAAATATTTTTTAAATACATAAATATTTAATCATTATTATTTTTCTATAGGAATTAAGATTTTCAAAAATTTCAATTTCTAATTTTTGAAAACATAAAATTCTAAATTCATGTTTCAAAATAATTAAAAATGATCGAATCATTAGTTTTTAATAAAAATATTGTTACTGTAAATTCTTCAAAATTATTTTCATCATTTCAATTTAATTATTACTTATTTCCTAGAATTTTTAACTAAAATTCTACTTTAAATTAATTATTTTTTAATATTATAAAAAAGTTTTTTGAGAATTTTCAAATCTATTTGTTTACAATTCAATTTTACGAAATTTGGATTATTCGGAAATTCTTCAATTAAATCTATATACATTAGAAAGAAAAATTTCAAATAATTTAGAAAAAAAATTTAATTAAACTTGTTCAAAAACATTAATTCTACAGAATTGTTAGTAAAAAGTTTGAAAGAATTTAATTTGAAACCTTTTCAAAATTCAATTAGTTCTACAAATTCACGCTATAATACTTTTAATATTCAATTAATATTTAAAATTTTAACTGAAATTTATTTTTAATTCAATTCTTTATTAGAAAATTCTACGAGAATTCTATTATTTAAATAGATACAAAAATAAATAATTTATTGAATAATTGAATATTTCTTAAAATTGAATTCTCGTAAAGAATTTTATAAACAAATTTTTAAATAATTGAATTCTTTCGACGAATTTTAATAAAATTTTGAAGAATAATTAAATTTTTCGTGGAATTCGATTAAAATTGTATTGAAAATAATTGAAATTCTGCAATGATTTTTGATATTTATGAAAATAAATCAATGTTTGTGTAGAATTTTATGAAAAATTTTTTTTAAATAATTGTATTCTCTTAGAAAATTTTTGAAAATAATTGAATTTTTATATTTTTCGAGAAGTTTGATTAAAAAGGTATTAAAAATAGTTGAAATTTCCCGATGAGTTTTATTATTTATGAAAGTAATTAAATTCCAAAAAAAATGTATTATGTATGAAAATAATTGAATCCCTGTAAAAAATTTTATTATTTTTGAAAACAATTAAATGATTGCATAGAATTATATCAAAATTTTTTTTTAATAATTGAATTCTTTGGAAAATTTTATTAAAATAGTAGATATTGAAAATGATTGAATTAAGAAAAATTTTTGAAAATAATTAAATGTTTGCGTAGAATTTTATAAAAAAATTTTTTAAATAATTGAATTCTTTTGGAAAAATTTTTTTAAAGATTTTGGAAATCATTGATTGAGAAAAATTTTTGAAAATAAATTAAATTCTGTGATGAGTTTTATTATTTATAAAAATAATTAAACTTTTGCGTAGAATTTTATGAAATTTTTTTTTTAATAATTGAATTCTTTTGGAAAATTTTATTAAAGATTTTAAAAATCATTAAATTGAAAAAAAAAATTTTTGAAAATAATTGAAATTCTGCGATAAGTTTTATTATTTATGAAAATAATTAAATGTTTGCGTAGAATTTTATGAAAAAATTTTTTTTAAATAGGAATTGAATTCTTTTGGAAAATTTTATTAAAGATTTTGAAAATCATTGATTGAGACAAATTTTTGAAAATAAATGAAATTTATTCTGTGTTGAGTTTTATTATTTATGAAAATAATTAAACTTTTGCGTAGAATTTTCTGAAATTTTTTTTTTAAATAATTGAATTCTTTTGGAAAATTTTATTAAAGATTTTAAAAATTATTGAATTGAGAAACATTTTTGAAAATAATTGAAATTTTTCCAAGAATTTTATTATTAAAATTTTTTAATGTAATTGAATTTCAGAGAAGAATTTTATTATTTTTAAAAATAATTGAAAAGTTTGACGATAATTTAAAAAAATTTTTTAACATAATTGAATTTCTGCGAAGAATTTTATTAATTTTTGAAAATAATTGAATTTTTGCAACAAACTTCTCCAAAATTCAATTTTTTTTCTTTTTATAAAAAAAGAAAATTATTTGAAAATTATTTTAGCCAATAATTTCTTTTCAGTTAACTCGCAATTCTTGAAGACCTATTATAAAAATTTAGTTTTAAATTATTTAAAATTGAATTTTAAAAGAGTTGCGTTTACAATTTTTTCATAAATAGAACAACCTCAAAAGGTTTTAGTTTGCAATTTTATAAAATTTAAATTTTGAATTAATTTAATTAGAAGTTTTTAACATATGTAAATATTAAAAAAATTTAACTATATCTTCAGAAAAATTTGAATTATTAAAATTTTTGAAAAAACTAATTTATTGTTTAAAACTTCTAATTAAATTAATTCAAAATTTAAATTTTATAAAATTTTAAACTAAAATCTTTTGAGGTTGATCTATTTGTGAAAATTATGAACGCAACTCTTTTAAAATTAAATTTTAAATAATTTAAAACTAAATTTTTAAAATAGGTCTTCAAGAATTGCGAGTTAACTGAAAAGAAATTATTGGCTAAAATAGAAAAATTTGAATGTTTTTGTATTAGAATTCGTGGTAATTTCATAGTTTATGAGACTAACAAAAAAGAAACAAAAATTTAGAATTTTCTCATGAATTCTAAACTTTAAATTTTTTTTCGTATTTTTATTAATAACTTTTCATTGAATTCCCTTACTTATCTGACCTGTAGTAACTTTGAATTGATTCTCTTTCTGTATTTTTACTCAAAAAATTTTAAAACATAATTTAAAAAATTGTTGCTTCTTATTATAGTTGCTGATTGGCTGCTTCGTTAGTAACATGCGCATTTCAAGACGCGCCTGTAGACCCGCAATTCAGTCCCCAGTTATACTCTCCTGGATGCGTATCCAGTATAAAAATAAAATAAAACAAAACAAAGATTCTATATTTTCTATACGAATTACGAATTTTTACAATAGTTTTCATTTTTATTTTCATTTTCTTTTCAATTTTATCAAAATTAAATACTGCGTCGTTTACAAAACTGATTATTTTAAATTCAAATCTCGAGCGGTAAAGCAGAAGCGAAGAACATGAATAAATGCGTGGAAGGTCGATGAGAGTGAAAGTTGTTCAGAATTCCCCCGAATGTGAAATACGTATATTTGTATACATATGTACATTCGTACATTTATGAGCTGTCATGTGAATGAGTTCTCGAGTTTTACATGAACCGTGTCAGTTATCACCAGTTTTTCATTTATCTTCTCCATTTATAAGTATGAAAAGATTATTCCTATTTATTATAGAAATAGAATTATTTTTTCATTAATTACGTAATTTTAGAATTAAAAATATTTTAAAAGCAACTTATTTTTTGTTAAAAGCGCAACAACAATTAAAATCAGTTTCAAACTAACGAAGGTGAACTTATTTTGATGCATTTTATAACTTGTGATCTGCAGGTGAATATTTTGAAAATTGCGGAAATTCATTTCAAATTAGTGACTTTAATTTATTTAAAATTTTCAATTTTATATTATATTTAGTTTTGCCTTTTACATTTACTTTTTGCTTTTAGTTTTTATTTCTATTTACTGTTTAGATTTTATATTTATTGAGTGCACATAGAAATTAAATACGTTCTATGAATTTTATATTCGAAGTGAAATAATGAATGAGATTCGATGTTTATATATATTCGTTTTATTTCAATTTATTGATTAAACTATGAATCTACATTTTTCTTGATAGTATCAAATAAATACTAAACTGGATCAAATTGATGCTGAAAATTTAGATCAATTTTTAATTAATTTAATTTAATTTTTAATCAATTTTTCACATTTTTTTGGTATCAATTTTCATTGAAATTTGATACTATAATAAGTTCAGTGCCTTAAACAAAGTAGAATTTTCTTTTTCTCTAGTGTCATTAAAAACTGTTTTAGAAAGCTATTTTCAAAAATTTAGAGAGATTATTGGAGAGACGTATTTAAACTTTTCACCTTAACAAAAAGAAAGTAAGAGTGACCGCTCTAGTAGAATATGATTTCAAGAAATTGATATTTTCCCGATGTTTTTTTTAATTTTTCTTTTATAGTAAAATTTTATATAAAAAAATCTATATTAATAATTGAGGAGCAATTTTTCAAAAGTTGATAAATCCATTTTTCAAAAAAATTGAGATAAACACGTAATCAAAATATTAAAATCCTTACAATTGAAAAAATATTTTTGCCTAACCTTGATGATTTTTAATTTAAATTTTTTCATTAGAAAAAATTACCAAAACCTTAAAATTCCCTTATTACGATAGACTTTAATTACAAACAGAGCGTTTTAAACAGAAAAAATATTCGAATTGTTGCAAAGAATTTTATCAAAAGATTTGATAATAATAGAATTCCTTCGAAGACTTTTATTATTTATAGGAAAATAATTTAATTTTCGCGAAGAATTTTGCTCAAATTTGTGAAAATTCTAAATGAATTCTTTTTAAAGAATTTCTTTGAATTTGAATTTTTTAAAAATAATGGAGTTTTTTTTTAAATTTTTAATTTAAAATTTTGAAAATAATTGAATTTTATAAACAATTATTGTAAAAAATAATTGCATTTATTCAAAAAATATTAAAAATTTTTTAAAAAAATTAATTTTTTTATGAAGTTTTAATAAAATATTGTATTAAAAATAATTGAATTTTCGTAAAGATTTTCACTATTTATAAATAATAATGGAATTTTTGCGAAGAATTTATTAAAATTTTATAATTGAATTTTTTCGAAAAATATTATAAAAATTTTTTTTAAATTGAATTTTTTCGTGAAATTGTTTGAAATATTATTGAATTTTTGATAAGAATTTTACTATTTATAAATTTAATCGAATTATTTGAAGGATTTATTTAAAGTTTAGAAAATAATTGAATTCTTTTGAAATATTTTATATCGAAATTAAAAAAAATTGAATTCTTTAGTGAAATTTTCTTGAAAATAATTGAATTTTTTCGCAGATTTTACTATTTATAAAAATCATTGAATTGTTTCGAAGGATTTTTTAAAATTGTAGAAAATAATTGAATTTTTTCGAAAAATATTAAAAATTTAAAAAAAATTGAATTCTTTTATGAAATGTTCTGAAAATTTTATTAAATTTTTGCAAAGATTTTTATTATTTATAAAATAATATAATTGAATTTTTTCAAAGGATTTAAAATTTTAGAAAATAATTTTATTTTTTCGAAAAATATTAAAAACTTAAAAAAAATTGAATTCTTTTATGAAATGTTCTGAAAATTTTATTAAATTTTTGCAAAGATTTTTATTATTTATAAAATAATATAATTGAATTTTTTCAAAGGATTTAAAATTTTAGAAAATAATTTAATTTTTTCGAATAATATTAAAAACTTAAAAAAAATTGAATTCTTTTATGAAATGTTCTGAAAATTTTATTAAATTTTTGCAAAGATTTTTATTATTTATAAAATAATATAATTGAATTTTTTCAAAGGATTTAAAATTTTAGAAAATAATTTAATTTTTTCGAAAAATATTAAAAACTTAAAAAAAATTGAATTCTTTACCCAGATAACCAGCGTACTATTACTGTACCAGCCATGTACCTTCGCACTGTACCAGGTACTGTAGTGGTATATCGTACAGATAATGGCGGAGAAGCATTGTAAATTCATAAACTAAAATCCCAAATAGTTCGGCGTACTGGTATTGTACTTAGTGTTATACTCGTACGGAGTACTTTGGCAATTTCATAATTCTATCCGTATGACATACCGTTATTATACTAGTATCGTACTGGTATGTACATACTTTATTATTCCGTGCTAGTGCAATATGAGTACGATACCAATACGCTGTACTAAAAAATAATGATTAGTACGCTTGGCTATCTGGGTAGTGAAAGTTTCTTGAAAATAACTGAATTTTTGCAAAGATTTTACTATTTCAAAAAATAGTTAAATTGTTTCGAAGGATTTATTAAAATTTTTAAAAACAATTGTATTTGTCAGTGAAATTTTATTAAAATTTTATTTAAAAATAATTGAATTTTTGCAAAAAATGTTACTACTTTGAAAGATAATTGAATTTTTACGAAGAATGTTATTATTTATGAAAATAATTGAATTCTTGCGAAGAACTTTTGAAAAATTTAATTTAAAATTTTTGAAATTAATAAACAAGAATAATTAATTTTAGTACATTAGTTAATAATTGAATTTTTTTTAAAGTTTGAATCTGAAATTATTCAAAAATTTATATTTGAAAATAAGATAGGTTTTGTAATTTGCATAATAATAATAATAATAATAATAGATTGAATGTCACGTTCCGTGCGCGTAATATTTGCTAGTCACTAATTCAAATTAGTAAACATTTTTACTAATTCAAATTTAGAGAGAAAGTATTAATTTTGTCTAATACAATTTTTATTTAAAAAAAAATTAAATAAGTCTCTGAGACAAATAATACTTTTATTTAACTCCAATTATATTTGCGGTTTAAATAAAATTTGTCTCCGCATGCACTATAAAAAATTGTTTTTAATAATAAAAAGAATAGAGAAAAATTACTAAAATTCTTCATTGAAGGGATATAATTTAGTTTTGAATGAAAGTTTCTTTAAAAAAAAAAAATTTTTGTTACGACGTATACAGGAAATTGTCGATATGAATTGGTCATCAGAATGTTAGTAGTGCACATTGAGGAAAGTGAATCGATGTGCGCAGTTACAAATTTAACGACGTTTCCACGGCGCTGGCGCTTTTGATTTCCCGGGGAATCGGGACTCTCCGGGTCTCGATCAGCTTTTCCTCTCAATTCTCAATATTTTCGAGCGCGCATCAGTTACGTTCTGTCACTGCAACAAGTGAAAACCCCCTCTTTTTTTGTTTTGGGGCAGAAAAATATATATAATCGCGATATATCTGCGACATATTTTTTCGTGAGGATTCATATAATAAATTTTAAATTAAAACTTGAAATTGCAAACAAAAAGTGCTAAACGAAAAGGAAATAAGGAAAGTTCTGTTTTGAAATATAGAAAATAAAAGAAGAAAAGGAAGAAGAAGAAAAAGAAGAAAGGAGAATATAAAAAAATGAGTGTTGACGATATCCTTAATTATACACCTGATGAGAATGAAGATCTTTACGCGATTCTAGGATGCGATGAATCTGCAACGGTAAATGATTTTATTTAAAATTTTTACTATTATATTTCTGCTTCAATTTTAGAACTTTTTTTATTATTATATTTATTCTTTCAATTTTTAAATCAAAATTTCAAAAAAAATTCATTTCAACAAATTTTGGTGATGAATTATTTACTATGTTTTTAATTTAAATATTTTGTTTACATAACTAAATGTCAATAGTTTTAAGCTAATTTCATTAAGAAAGGAAAATGCGAACTTTTACGAATACGAAATCACTTCAAAATGAAAGGATCTGGAATTATTTATTAACACACGGCAAGAGATAAATCTTATTTTTAGCCCACTTTTGACTAAAATCGTTTACAAGACGAACGTTTAGAACTTTTTACTAAAAGTAAGTAAAATTTATTAATAAATTAGTGGAAATGATTATTTATTAAAAAATAGTTTTTGGATTAGTAAATTTTACAAATAAATAATCATTTCTACTAATTCATTATTAAAATTTACTAATTCAAAAGCAAAAGGTCAGGAACTAATTGAAATTAGTAAACATTTTTATTTTCTACTTTATGCTTCTGAATTATTTAGTTTTACTAATAAATTAGTAGAAATTACTAATTCTTAGTCAATAGCTTTTGAATTAGTAAGTTTTACAAATAAATAATAATTTCTACTAATTTATTAGTAAAATTTACTATAATTCAAAAGCAAAAAGTCAGGAACAAAATTGAAATTAGTAAACATTTTTACTTTTCTACTTTTTGATTTTAAATTAGAAAATTTTACTAATAAATTAGTAGAAATGATTAGTGTCAAAATATAGCCTTTGAATTAGTAAATTTTACTAATGAATAATCATTTCCACTAATTTATTAGTAAAATTTACTAATTCAAAAGCAAAAAGTCAGGAACTAATTGAAATTAGTAAAAATTTATACTTTCCTACTCATTGATTTTGAATTATTTAATTTTACTATAATAAATAGTAAATTTTAATAATAAATTAGTAAAAATTAGTTTGAATTAGTAAAATTTACTAATTTAAAAGCAAAAAGTTGATCACTAATTCAAAGTAGTAAACATTTTTATACTTTTTTACATTTTGCTTTTTAATCAGCTATTTTTATTAATAAATATATACCCTCCGAACAAATAACGAACTTGAAGTCCACAACGTTTATCAGCGAAAAAAATTTATTTAATGCATTCAAGTATTATTTTTGTTTTAATATATAATTGTAAAATAATTATTATCAAAATATAAACATTAGTCTTTCTTTTCTAAATATTTTTGTGTTAATAGGGTAAGTGTACCAATTACCGATGGTGTCCCATTTGTCGATGTTGCCATGGTAATAACCAAAAAATATTGTCTAAAATGTCTCATTTGTTTATAAATGTAATAGTAATATATTTTTTTCACATTTATAACGCATAAGAAAATTACTATTTATCAATTATTGCATTTACAATGTAATACAATGTTTAAATAAAATACAAAGTTTGTTTACTCGACAACTGGAACCACCCTCGACAATTGGTACGTTTACCCTATTGCTGCGTCATTTTTAATTAATTTATTAAGTGAACAATTTTTTTTTCGTTAATCAACGTTGTGGATTTCAACTTGGTAACAAATAAAATTGTCCGTTCCAAAAACGTTTTTAGAACGTTTTTGGAACGAACATGGTTTTTTGCCAATAGGGTAGTAAACTTTACCAATAAATTATAAGAAATTAGTTTGAATTAGTAAAATTTACTAATAAATAGTAAATTTTACTAATAAATTAGTAGAAATTAGTTCAAAAGCAAAAAGTCAGTCACTAATTCAAATTAGTAAACATTTGTTACTTTTTTACTTTTTGCTTTTTAATTAGTTAATTTTACTAATAAATAGTAAATATTACTAATAAATTGGTAAAAATTACTATTTATTATTAAAATTTACTAATTCAAAAGCAAAAAATCAGTCACTATAGTTCAAATTAGTGATTATTGATACTTTTTGCTTTTGAATTAGTAGATTTTACTAATAAATAGTAATTTCTATTACTAATTTATTAGTAAAATTTGCTAATAAATCAGTAGATTTTACTAATAAATAGTAATTTCTACTAATTTATTAATAAAATTTACTAATTCAAAAGCAAAACTCAGTCACTAATTCAAATTAATGCATAATCATTTTTACAAACTCAAATTTAGAGAGTAATTTTAAAATAAAAAATAGACTATTTTCCAATCATTTTGATTTTAAGATGTAAAAAGTTTGAGAATTATTTTTTTCTTATTTGAATACTTGCAACCTAGATTGCAACAATAAATTAATTTATTTTAACAATAAATCATAGTATAAACAATACTAACAATACAATAATGACAATAAATCATACAATTTCCTATACATTAATAAATCATATAGTCTTTAATTATTTCAATGTTAATAAAATAAAAGTACGAAATATTTGTCCTAACTTAAATTAATATTAAATAATATTCATAAGTTATTTTCAAAAACGTTAAATTTTAATTAATTTTTAAATTAATTTCTGGTCTCATTTGCAATATAAAAATGTAAATGTAATTATATTTATTCGGAAGAGCTGAAAGAGATATTATCCTGAGATTAAGTATGAGAAACAGTTTGACAAAAAGGGTAAAAGAAAATGTAAATATTTGATAATTTGGTGGCACTTAAGAGCCACTCTGGGAATACCACGAATGACAAATGAGGAACTTTACGAGGAACAAAGTTCTCTTTTCTCTCTCTCTTTCTCTCTCTCTGAGCTGATTTTCTTCCACAAAAGTGTGTTACAATTGTTTTGTTTATTTCGTAATAAAAATGGTAATTTTTACATTGTTTATTTTTATTATTATTTATATTTGGTTGATAAAATTATTGTTAATATATATTATGTGATATCCCTGACAATGAAAATTATTAATATCCTTTAATAACTTTATTTCATTTATTTTTATTTTTACATTTTAAGAATGTAAATTTATCATTTTTAACTATAACTTTTTTTAGTAGAAATGTTTACTAATTTGAATTAGAGGCTGACTTTTTGCTATCGAATTAGTCAATTTTACTAATAAATAATCATTTCTACTAATTTATTAGTAAAATTTACTAATTCAAAAGCAAAAAGCAAGGAACTAATTGAAATTAGTAATTACATTTTTACTTTTCTACTTTTTGCTTTTAAATTAGAAAATATTACTAATAGTAATAAAAAATTATAAATTTTATTTATTTGTCAATAATACATTAGTATAAAATACTAATTCCAATTAAGAGAGCATTATTATTATCATTATATAACTTTATTTACTCTACTTGCGCATAACAAGGTTCGGTGATTCATTTACAAAAATTATTATTATTATCTTTTTTTATTGTTATTATTATTAGTATCACCTTTTTTATGACTTAAATTATATAAAAACACATATTTTTATATGTAATTAGAGTAAAAATAGAAAGCAGATGACGCCTCAATGTGTATATGTAATTTATATTATGAAAACGCCCACAATAAATCTTTAAATTGCATTTGATGCACAATATGCCCATTAATTATACATTACATAATAATAAACATCAAAGTTCGAAAATTTCTCTTGAATATTCATGAAACTAATTTCCATTTTGTCCTATTTCAGTTCGCTTGCGTTGTCTTAACGATCCTTTAAAATATAATGAACGCTTTCAGTAAGCATTTGCGACACATTCACTTTAATAAACAAAGCACCTAGTGCTATTTTCTATTTACATTATCTACAACTTAAAACATTTACACCAATTTTTTTTTCAATTGCCTTCTTCTTTTATTATACTGAATACCAATAATTTACAGTTTTTCATTTTTGACATGAATCTATCACCTCTATACATTATTCATTAACATTTTTAAGTGTAGTAATAATAATGAATATTTGCATTTTGAGATTACTAAATATAAAAATGCATATAATTATACTCTCTAAATTTGAAAAATTAAAAAAATTATTATTAAATTATTAAAAAGTATTGCAGCTTAAATTAACACCAAAAGAGATTAAATTAATCAATTTTTAAATTAATTTTTTCCATGAAAAAAATGTGTCTAAATCAAAACCAAATCATTTTTATATAAAACATTTTGAAAAAATAATCCTTCGACAGATTAATTAATTTTAAAGGAATTTTTATAGAATTTTTTCATATAATATACAATATAGACACAAAAGCATTCATTTCTAATTGAAAGGATTTTCCTCTTTTATATTATATGAAATGGAATAATTTCAAATAAAGAGATATTCATCTTTTTTCATATACGTCAATTTCAGAAATGTCAACATTGTTTACTTGATTAGAATAAATTATAAGGGTTATTTTAGCCTTTTCTTTTTATTTGATCCATTTATTCATGAAAAGAAACATACACGGCGAAAATACATTATTTTAAATTTTTTAAATGGGAATTCAGTTTTAAAAAAAAGGGTAATTTTTGAAATTGAGTGAATATTTTTTTTTACTTTTTCTTTTCATTATATCCTCTTTAACTTAGATGTTTTATTTAATTGTTTTCTGTTAATTAATATATATTTTTTATTATCCTTTTTCGTAGTCTGCAATTTTTATTAAATTTTGAATCAAAAATTTTTTGTTTACTTTTGTTTTTTAAAATTTTATGAATTTTACAATATCCGAAGTAAATTGCAACAAAAAATATTATTAAAATTTACTTCGGATTTATTAAAATTTACTCCAAAAATAGTGAAAGTTGGTATTAAAAATTGTTGTTTCGAGAATCAATTTTACTATTTCCAAAGGAAATTTTTTTTATAAAAATTAAAAAATTTTTTTCAGGAGTAATAAAATTGACTCTATAAATAAAAGTTTCAGTATACATAGCTAATTGCAGGTTACTAGGTTACTAGGTTTGATGAAAATTTGAAGAATTTTTATACAAAATTAACTTAGAAAATTGGTAAAATTTGCAATTAAAAATTGTTATTTCCAGAGAAAAGTCAATTATTGATATTTTTTTTCATCTTTTTCCGTAGTCCGTAACTTTTTTTTAAATTTTTAATGAAAATTTTTATTAGAATGCTACTTTTGTTTTAAAATTCCATTAATTTTACGATTTATGAAGTAAATTTAAAAAAAAAAATTACTAAAATTAACTTGGCTCTTGCGGAAAAATTTCCTTCAAAAATAGTAAAATTGAATATTAAAAATTGTTATTTCCATAATTACTTTTACTATTTACAACTGACAATTTTTTTTATAAAAATTATAAAAATTTTGTTTAAAAGTAACTCCTAAAATTTACTCAAGAAATAATTTTTAATATCTAATTGTAATGTTCGAGGAAAATTAGAATAATTTTTATAAAAAAAATTAACATTGAAAATAGTAAATTTTGCTATTAAAAATCGTTATTTCCAGAGTAAATTTTATTACATCCGTATAGTAAATTTTATTTGCAAATTAGTAAAATATATACTTGGAATTTATAGTAAAATTTATTCTGAAATTAATACAATTTGTCAAAAATTTTAAACAGTTTGGCTTTTTCCTACAAGTAAAAGTTATTTTATATTTGTTACCTTTTATGAAAAAGTTTTCAAGTTAAAAAACTCTTCTCTCTAAATATAAATAATTAGTAAAAATATTTACTAATTTGAATTAGTGACTGATTTTTTGCTTTTGAATTAGTAAATTTTACTAATAAATAATAATTTCTACTAATTTTTTAAAAAAATTTATTAATTCAAAAGCTATAAAAGTAAAAAGTAAAAATGTTTAGTAATTTGAATTAGTGACTGACTTTTTGCTTTTGAATTATTAAATTTTACTAATAAATAGTAATTTCTACTAATTTAATAGTAATAAATTTACTAATTCAAAAGCAAAAAGTCAGTTACTAATTCAAATTAGTAAACATTTTTATTAATTCGAATTTAGAGAGTGAGAAATAATCTAGAAAGATTTTTAAGTTTCAAGAAACTAAAATTTTTTCAAAATTTTCGAAAAGTAAAAATTTTTGTTTTCAATCATAACTAAAAATTTTTCTAACTTCCAAAAAATGACAATTTTTACAAATTTGTCTTAAAAATGAAGGGAAAAAAGGTGAGAAAATTTATGAATTTAAAATATTTATTCATTTATGAAAAAGAGTCTATGATCCTTGCCTTATTGTTTTTTTAAGAAATAATTTTTCTTTAAAATCTAAGCACATAAAAATTAGAGATAACTTGGAAAAAATTTCTTTTTTTTATTCGTTTTTAAAAACGTTGCAGAATTCAGCTTCATAAAAATAAAAAAATGTAATTTTATGAAACAAGATTATTATTACGTATTTATTTTTTTCTAATCATAATTTATTTATTTTTAATTGACACCTTTTAAGAAATTTGAGGGTGAGTGCAAAAAAAAAAATAAAAATCAACTTTAACAATCTTTTTTCTATTATTTTGATTCATCTTCCAGAAGAATAATATTTCAATCGTATAAAAAAATTCTTTAATGCAAAAAATAATTTCAATGAAAGAAGAAATAATAAAAGTTATCTTTTATTCAACATATCTCCATAAATAAAGAAAAAAATCCTCTTTTTTGTACATTGATGAATATTTCTATGTTTGAAAATAAAATTTGATTTTCATCTGTTTGAAACTTTGAGACTTCATTTTTTCGATGCAAGTATATCGTAGCCTTCATAAGATTTTTCGTAAGACATACTTTAACAATAAGACAATTGTAGTGACATGACGCAAGGATTTCTGCGGAACAAATTGCTGGTCAATTATTTTCTTTGTGGTTTCCTTTTTTAGACTATTTTTAGTTTCTAAATTTATCTTTTTTGTTTTGTATATATTAAGGAAAGTGTTAGCCATTAAAATGTAAATTTGTATTGATACGTTTTTTGTCTCAATTTCATATCCTTAGAAAAACTGTTACCAAAAAAGATTAAATTAATCAGTTTTTGAATGAATTTTTTCCTCATGAAAAAAATGTGTCTGAATCAGAACCAAATCATTTTTATAACATTTTGAAAAAATAATAATTCTTCACGGAGAGAAAAATCAATCGTTTATAGCATGAATGTTTTGTATTTTAAAAGTATGAAATGTTAGTATACTATGACTGCAAGAAAGTATACTGCGATTGCAAGAATCCTATGCTTTTTCGGAATTAGACCCTTGCAACTGGCTATTAGGCCACGCCCAGAGCCTGGGCCGACCAATCAAATTGCAGAAAACTTTTACCGAAATCGCATAGGTTTCTTGCAATCGTAGTATGAAGAACTTCATGCTAAAAAGCCCAGATATTTCTCTCCGTGTTCGATGGATTATTTTAATTCCTGACGGATTAAAGCGTTGAAAATTATATTAATCCATTTTGGTGTTAGAATAATACCACAGAATTTTCTGTGTAATTATAATATTGTATTAATTATAATATTTGTATTATTTATATAAATATTAATTCAATATTGTATTATTATTTATAATATTTGTATTATTTATAAATATTAATTAAATATTGTATTAATTATAATATTTGTATTATTTATAAATATTAATTCACAGTTAATTCTTGTTTATGTTTCGGCTATTATAAAAGTTATAAAAGCGGTTATAAAAGTAAAATAATTACGCGGAAAGTTAATGTTTGAACAAGTTTCTTTTTGATATCCTAGGAATAAATTAAGGGAACTTTTTAATTAGAAATTAAAATGCAATGAGCTGATTTCTTAATTAAAAATTAAAATTGAGAATCTATTTTAAACAGATATTAACAGTATATAGTGTTATATACCGGCATTTTTATATTGATGTCATAAATTATTGACCTATTGGATTTTAATTTTCAGGTTGAGCAGATCACTGCCGAGTACAAGGCTTTGGCTCTTCAGTATCATCCCGATAAAAATGAGGGGAACAAGGAGGCGGAGGCCAAGTTTCAACAACTTAAAGTACGTTGTACACAAAAAATTTATTTTCTACTTTAATGATATTTTCATTTTTTTTTTTTTTTTTTTTTTTTGTAATAGAAGTGAAATATCAAAATTTGTTTTTATTATTCCGCAATTTTTCAAACTCTTTTCCATTTCAATTTCAAAATTAAAGAAAAAAATATCTTGCAATTTTATTCCCCCAAGAAAAAGTTGTTTTTATTTTCAAAGAAAGTTAATTTTTAGATGACCCAGTTTTTCTTTGAGAAAAAAGTTTAATAGAAGTCGACTCATTTTACAAAATTGGTCTTGCATTCAATGTAAGCATTATATATATACAATATGCTTCAAGATCACTGTAATATTGTAATTAGACTGAGAACAAATTTTTTTAATTCAAAAATAAGTAGCTAATCAAAAAAATGTGTTTGAATTAAACAAATTTTTTGAATTAAACGTAATTTTTATTGAATCAAACTTATTGTGTATTGAATCAAAATTATTATGTTTAATTCAAAAATAAATTTTGATTGACTGTATAACAAAGATTAATTATAATAATTAAAGGAAGGGAATTTTTAAATTTATAAATTTTAAATTTAATAATAATAATAATTTAATAATTTATAAATTTTTTAAAGATTAATTATGTTTGATTAAAATCTATTATTTTCTCAGTGTAAAATGATTGATAAACAAATATTTCAAAACAAGTCAGTGGTATAAAATCTTGCTTTTATAGTTTAAATTTCAATGGCAAATATTTTTGCATTTTTGGGTTTTTTTTTGAAAACGTAAATGATGTATAAAAAAAATTAATGCTGCAATAGCCACCTTCCATTCACTTTTAGAATGCCAAGGAGATATTATGTGACCCTGAAAAAAGGAGCAATTACGACAAATGGCGACACAGTGGGATCTCGATTACTTATAAAAAGTGGCTTGGAATGAAGGAGTCAGTTCACCAGGTGAGTTACGTTTTAATTTAATCTCCTGTGTAAACTGGTTCACTGGCGGGTTTCAAGTAGATTTTCCACTAATTCAACAAAAATTATCATAAATTAGAATTTCCTTTAGTATAACGTCTCAGTCAAGTCTTATAGTGTCTGCCGTAATTTATTAATTCACACCGCTGCGCTGTCTCAAAACGGACATATTATGCAATTCAATAAATGCAAGTAGACTTTATAAAGTAGTAAAAAAAATTTTATTGTTAATGACCTACAAAAATAATAAAAATTAAAATTAAAATAATTATAGTACTAAAATAATAATAAAAAAAATAAATTTAAAAAATAGATAAATAATAAAAAAAAAATAATAATATTAATAGTGTAATAATCCCCAGCAAAATTAGTTCCCCAGTTTTTCATATTTTTACTTTTTTAATAGTAATAAAAATAGTAATTATAAAAAGTAATTTTATTTTAAAAAATTGAAAAATGCGTTATGGCTGGTGGCACTCAATGACGTCATTCCTATTTTTTATACTCTCCCTCTTTTGAAATAAAAATATTGATTAAAGACATTTTTAAAAAATTAATTGAGTCCTTGTGATTTGTTGAAGAAAATAAGAATAGAAATACGTTAGAAAGTATTTCAAAATTATTTCACATAAAAAAGGATGTTATATATATATATATATATATATATATATAAATTTTATCTCACAATGGGATTCTATAAATATATAAATATAAATATCAATGTAAATATAAATATAATTATAAACACAAATATCAATACAAATTACAAATAAATATAAACAGAGTTTCCACGCAACCTGGAAAACTGAAAACCTGGAAAAGTCAGGGAATTTTTAACGGAATCCTGGAAAATTGGTGTTTTCTATAGTTATTGTGTTTATTCTTTAAATCTAATACAAAATCTTCAAATTTTCCTATTTCTGACAGTAATTTATTTTCAAATATCTTAAAAACTTGAATTTTGGAGAAATTATAAATGATTGCAGAAATTCAATTATTTTCAAAAATAATAAAATTCTATGCAAAAATTCAATTATGTTCCAAATTTTTTAAAATTCTCGTAAAATTTCAATTACAATTTTCAAAAGTAATAAAATTCTTCTCCGAAATTCAAGTATTTTCAAAAATTTTAATAAAATTCTGCGGAAACATTTAATTATTTTCATAAATAATAAAAATTTCACATGAAATCAATTATTTACAAATTTTTTATAAATTTCTTCGCAATGATTCCATTATTTTGAAAAATAATAAACTTTTTTTTTTAATAATTAGTAAAACTCATTGTAAAATTTCAATTATTTTTAATACAATTTAAATCGAATTCCACGAAAAATGTTGAAAAATATATTTTTATTATTAAGTTTTATTAAAATTCGACAAAAGAATTCAATGATTTAAATTTTGTTGATAAAATTCTTTCTGAGAATTCAATTTTAAGAAATATTTAATTATTCAACAAATTATTCATTTTTGTACCTATTCAAATAATTAAATTCTCGTAGAATTTTCTAATAAAAATTCATTCAAAAATTAATTTCAGTTTCAAATTTTAGATTATGTTCAAAATTAAAAAAAAAATTCTCTTCTAAATTTCAATTATCTTTATAAATAATAAAACTCTGAAATTAAATTATTTCCAAAATTTTTTAATAAAATTCTTAGCAGAATTTCAATTATTTTCAAGAATTTTCCAAATGAATTCAATTATTTAAAAATGTTTTTGGCAAATTTCTACACAAACCTTTAGTTACTTTCATAAATAATAAAAACTTCACAGAAATTTAATTATTTACAAATTTTTTATAAATTTCTTCGCAATAATTTAATTATTTTCATAATTAGTAAAACTCATTGTAAAATTTCAATTATTTTCAATACAATTTTAATCGAATTCCACGAAAAATGTAATTATGTATTCTTAAAAATTTTATTAACCCGATGTTTGTTTCCGACCCACGGGTTGGTCGAAAGAATTCAGTCTTAAGAAATATTCAATTATTCAATAAATTATTTATTTTTGTATTTAAATAGTTGTAGAATTTACTTATAAAAATTCATTTAAAAATAAATCTCATTGAAAATTTTAGAGATAGTAATTGAATATTAAAAGCATTATAATATGAATTTTTTGAGATTTTCAAAAATAATTGAATTTTGTAAACGTTTCAAATTCAAATCTTTGGAAAAGTTTTCAAAAGAATTCAATTATCTCGACAAATATAAGAATTCTTCCCAGAAATTCAATTATTTTCAGGAGTTTTAATAAAATTCTTTGCTAAATTTAAATATTTTCATAAATAACAAATATTTCTCAGAATAATTCAATTATTTTTAAAAGTAATAAAATTCTCAATAGAAATTCAATTATTTTCAGGAATTCTTTTTAAATTCTTGACAAGATTAAATTATTTTTAACAATTTTAATAAAATTGTTTGCAAATTTCAATTTTAATTTTTTTTTTAAATTAAAATTCTTCTGAGGGATTCAATTATTTTCATAAATAATAAAATTATTTTTAGGAATTCAATTATTGTCATAAATACCTAATAAAACTCATTGCAGAATTTCAATTATTTTTAATACAATTTAAATCCAATTCCACGAAAAATATGATTATTCTTAAAAATTTTATCAAAATTCGTCGAAAAAATTCAATTATTTAAAAATGTGTTGATAAAATTCTTTATGAGAATTCAATTTTAAGAAATATTCAATTATTCAATAATTATTTATTTTTTTTATCTATTCAAGTAATTGAATTCTCGTTGAATTTTCTAATAAAAATTGATTTAAAAATGAATTTCAGTGAAAATTTTAGATAATAATAATGGAATATTAAAAGTATTACAGCGTGAATTTATAGTAATAATTGAATAATTTTGAAAAGGTTTCAAATTAAAATCTTTGGAAATTTGAATCTTTTAAACTTTTATCTAACAATTCTGTAGAATTAATGTTTTTGAAAAAGTTTTTGAATTTCTTTGAAATTTTTTTTGCTAATATATATATATATATATATATATATATTTAATTGAAGAATTGCCGAATAATCGAAATTTAGTAAAATTGAATTGTAAGCAAATGGATTTAAAAATTGTTAAAGAACTTTTTCAAAAATTATTAAAAGTAATTGACTTAAAGCAAATTTTATTTAAATTTCTAGAAAACAAGAATTGAATTGAAATATTGAAAATAATTTTGAAGAAGTTACAGTAACAATATTCTTAATCTTATAATATAAAATAATGATTTTATTACTCGATCAGCTTTAATTGTTTATAAAACAATAAAGAAATAATGGATCAATCCGAGTCGAAGAATCGAAGTAATATATTTCTTACTCATATTTTATATAATATTCATCTAAGTTTTTGAATTTGAAATTTTTGAAAATCTTAATTTTTACTGAAAAGTAATAATAATTAAATATTTATTTAAAAATAAAGATAATGTAAATACAATTTTAACAAAATTAAAAATTATAAAATATTAATGTCATTGAATTATTAAGTAAGTCGTAAAATGATAAATACAGTGAGAATAATAAAACGAGAGGCGTTGTTTTGTTAAACTATTGAAAGCAAATGAGAATAAATAACGAAACTGATTTGTTTTGTTACCTTCATAAAAAAGCTTATAATAATAAAAATCTCATAAAGTTGATAAATTAACTTTAAAATTACATAAATTAAAAGAAGAGACATAAAAAGTGATGTAGAATATTATTAAAAGTTGAATTTACAATTTGTTATTTTTATATTTACTAATATCACGCAATTCAAAAGTTTGCGATTCATCAATTTATTTAAAATAATATAATATACATGTAAAAAAATAATTTCAGGGGAATAGAAATCTACTTTTTATATTTTATGTCTGCAATTTTTATAAAGCGTAATAAAATTGTATATACATGTATATATTTACATAAAACGGAGGTGTTGTATGAGCTTTTTTTTAAAATTACTTTAGAAAGCTTTTAGTAATGAAACAAAAGTGAATACGCTGGTTTCCATAAAACTTGATGTTTATTACGCGCCATATTTAAAAAAGAAGAACTTAAAAAGGGCAAAAGTGAATTTTGCTTTTAAATAAAAACTATGCTTTTGAAAAAAAGAATATTGCTCTTCTTCATGTATAACTTTGAGGAAGAATTAATTACTGTCAATAAATAAAAGTTTAATTTTATTGCTCTTAGTATTTTTGTTTATATTAGTATCGCTCTGATTCAAATTAAGAGAGAAAATACCTACTTTTTATGAAATCAATTAATTATTTTGTTTTTAATTGTATAGTAACTTTTTAAAAAATTTTTATTTTAAGAATTTTTATAATTATAAATTATAATTAAAAAAATTGAAAGAAATTATAATCTTTTAATTAAAGGTCATTTTGTCAACCAAAAATATTTTTATTTTAAAATGAAAAAGTTTGAAATTATAGTCTGACTAAAACTTGTTTTTACTACTGAAATAAGTAAAATTGGAGTGAAATTATGTAAACACGTTTGTCTGGCTATAAATTGCTTTTACTACTTCCACAAAAGATATTAAGTGTATTAAAAAACCGTTAATCATTTTAACACTGTCCTTTGCTGATAATTATGTAGTACAAAAAATGTAATTTATTGACTAAAAGTGACTTTAAATACTAGAATGGAAAAGTTTAAAACTTTATGTTTGACTAACATTGACTTATACTACTGATTTTAAAATTAAGAGAAATTTATATAACTGACTGAAACTTGCTTTTACTACTGAAAGTAAAATTAAAATGAAATTAATTACATTCTTTTGTCTGACTATAAGCTGTTTTTACTACTTTTACAAAAGTTATAAATGTATTAAAAACCTTGTATAAGTTTAACACTGTCTTTTATTACCAGTAAAAAATTTAATAAAGTCTATTATGGTGTCTGACTAAAATACTCTCTTACTACTAGAAATTTGACTAATTTTATAGTTATATTTATTTACTA